TGGCAGGCACCTCAGAGGAGAGAAAGTATGGTAGCCATGTTGAAAAGTCATCAAGAAAGCGTGACACTAGGCCTGGGGGGTAGTAGATGACTGCGATCCTCAGACAAACAGGAGAAAAAGAGACGAATACAGTGCACTTCAAAAGAGCGGAGGGACAGAGATGGAGGGGCAGGAAGAACCTGGAATGTGCTTTGTGGGGAAAGAAGAAGTCCGACTCCATCCCCTTTTCGTCCACTGGGTCTGGGCGAGTGAGTCCAGAGGAGGCCACCATGGGAGAGTGCAGCTGAGGAGACAGTCGGAATCCTGGAGCCGGGTTTCAGTAATAGCAAAAAGGTTGAGGGAGTGGGAGAGGAAGAGGTCATTGATAGTAGAGAGTTTGTTAGAGGCTGAGTGGGCATTCCAGAGAGCACATAGGAGGGAGGGGTTGGTGCGTGGAAGCAGGGGAATTGAGATAAGAGACTGAGGGTTGCGGCTGCGGCTAGAGAGTGGAGGCTGCTTCTTCTGTGGGTTGGAGTTTGATGGTGGAGGGCCAGGGTTTGGAGCAATGTCTCCAGAAGTTAGTAGTAGTAGAAGGGTGAGGGAGGTGTGGTGGGAGCAAGATTTATATGAGGGCAAATGCTGCAGTGCTTTTGTAGAGGTGACATTATGTGGACCAAGAGAGAGCAGGAGATAAGTGCAGTGATATTGAGAGGGCAGAAGTGAGGGTGATATGTACAGGTTGTGGGGTGGGGGAGGGGGGGGGGGTAAACCAGAGAGAGTTTGAGAAGAGAGGGCATTATAGCAACAAAGAGAGTTAGCAAGAGCATGCTGGAGAGAGGGGAAATAATAAAGGAAGGCAGACGGAAAGAGGTAAGGGAGTGAAGAGCGCATGCAATCTACTTGAGGTAGAGCACTAATGTTTGTACTTGCCTTAGTCAAAGTGCCGTGTTTAAAGTGCCATGTACTTAGCGCCGTAATGCATACTTTGCGCAAGGAATGCCAGCCTGTCCCCTCGCCAGCCATCCCAAGGACTGTACTGAATTTATACTTGGATGGACGGGGGGGGTTAGGTTTCAGGCAAATCGTTCAATTAAGAGCTAAATATATTTTCCAGAAATATATTGAATACGAGCCAAAATTGTATGCATTTCAATATATGTCAGTATATTTGGGAAGAAGACATCATTTTTCCAAAATGGTTACCGCTATTTCAAATATATTTTTCTTCCATGGTGGGAAGAGCAGATGGATTCCAGGAAGTAAATGCTACTACATGAATCTTCTGCCCTCACTCAAGATGACCGTGGTTAGAAAATGCTGGATGGGTATGTACGGTTTTTATAAGTTATTTCTCAACAAAATAAAGCAGGTGGAGACATGGCTGGTATAAAAAGTAGTCTTATGTATATTTTTCTTCCATGTGGGAAGTAAATGCTAATGAATCATTTGCCCTCACTCAAGATTTGTTGTGAATATTAAAAATGAATTAAATAACGTTTTAAGTTTGTGGCGCTCAGATACAGTTTTACTTCCACTTTAAGGATCCTTCGCACTTTGGTGCTATACCATGCATTTTAATACATTGAATAATACAGCTAATAAGCATTAATATGGCATGAAAAAAAAAAAAAAAGACAAGCAACATCTTTGATGCTTCTTCTGTGAGCTCTAATAAAAGAGTTATTGGGCTGTGCCTTTCCAGTGAGGGGACATTGGACATATGTCTGGAACTGGGTGAAAATGTACTTGTATATTCACTGTTAGCAAACCAATAAGCTGTGCTATCCACACAAGTAATACATGTATCTATGCAATAAACAACTGGATCAATACAGCCACACATAAAAGTCAATAAATGCAAAATAAAGAACAAAAAGTCTGTAAAAGAAATGTGTTCTGTGTAGGAATTCAAAATTAGAAGTGTGAATTCCACGTCACAAAAGTCTTCGCCACCACACAGGCACACTGAGAGGCTTACCAAGAATGCACGATTCTCTAATTATAGAGAAGTCATATAAAACTTTATACAACTACCCTTGATATCACACCAGGTCACCAGCACTCCTTGAACACATGGATATCTCAGAAAGGGCATCTCCTCCCAGGATCTTCTCCAGTTCTTAGTCTATGCATGCAGGTATGTTAAAAAAGAATAGAGACCAAGCGCTCCACATACCATCAAATCCAACGTAATATGTAATACAATAGCAGAAATGCGCTTACAAACAATGAGGGCAAAACAGCGCTGTCTGTAAACCAAAGATAGTGTACAAACACTGCACTTCTGAGGTCACTTCCAGTATACATGATGATGTCACAACAAATTCCTCCCGACACGTTTCATCACAGATGACATCTTTCTAAGATTGAGCAAAGCCTGCCGTGACATCATCACGCATACTGGAAGTGCTGTGTTTCTACACAATCATTGATTTACATACATCATTGTTTTACTCTCTTTGTAGGTGCATTTCTGCTTTTTTAATGAATTATACGTTGGATTTTTGCTAATGTACAATATATTTAAATAGTAGAAAATGCACTTACAGAGTAAAACAGCGCTGTATGTCACCCAAAGATCATGTAGAAACACCTCACTTCCAGTATATGTGATGACATCACAACAGACTCTGCTCGATGCGTTTAATCACTGAAGATGTCATCTATGATGAAACGCATTGGAGGAAGCCTGTTGTAACCTCATCACGTATACTGGAAGTGATCTCAGAAGTGCAGTGTGTTTGTACACAATCTTTGGTTTACATACAGCACTGTTTTACTTTATTTATTTGTAAGTGCATTTCTGCTATTTTAATAAATTATACTTTATTTTTTGGTATGTGGAGCACTTAGTCCATGTATACAGGTATGATAAAAAAGAATAGAGACCAAGAACTGGAGAAGATCCTGGGAGGAAATACCCTTTCTGAGATATCCATGTCTTCAAGGAGTGCCAGATGACCTGGTGTGATGTTGAGGGTAGTTGTATAAAGCTTTATACCATAAAATAAAGTATAATTTATTAAAATAGCAGAAATGCACTTACAAACAAAGAAAGTAAAACAGCGCTGTATGTAAACCAAAGATCGTGTAGAAACACTGCACTTCTAGGATCACTTCCAGCATACGTGATGAGGTTACAACAGGTTCCCCCGATGCGTTTCATCATAGATGTCATCTTCAGTGATGAAACGCATCGAGCGGAGTCTGTTGTGATGTCATAATTTATTAAAGTGAGGTGTTTCTACGTGATCTTTGGGTGACATACAGCGCTGTTTTACTCTGTAAGTGCATTTCTGATACTTAAATATATTATACATTAGGAAAAAATCCAACGTATAATTTATTAAAATAGCAGAAATGCACTTACAAAGAGAGTAAAACAGCGATGTACGTAACCCAATGATTGTGTAGAAACACAGCACTTCCAGTATGCGTGATGATGTCACAGCAGGCTCTGCGCAATCATAAAAGATGTCTATGATGGAATGTGTCGGTAGGAATTTGTTGTGACATCATCATGTATACCGGAAGTGACCTCAGAAGTGTAGTATTTGTACACAATCTTTGGTTTACAGACAGCACTGTTTTGCACTCATTGTTTGTAAGTGCATTTCTGCTATTTTATTACATTTTACGTTGGGTTTTATGGTATGTGGAGCGCTTGGTCTCTATTCTTTTTTAACATACCTGCATGCATATACTAAGGCCGGCCATGCATGGGTTGAAATTCGAACAATTTTTCATCCAAAAATTGGATCTAAGAATAATTGGCCTATTATTGCTCTGTTAGTGGGTCCATGGCACTGACCGATTTTCGTGGTTCCTCCCCTTTTCGGTGATCGGGCATGTTGGAAAATTTGTGAAAAACAGCCGATTTTCGACTCAATGATGGTCAAATCATACAAATATGTGAATGAGCCTTGACCTGGAAGGAACAGAAGTTTCACCTGTTATATGGGGTGAACTTTATGACTTGGTCAGCCAATTTTCGATATCATTGATGGCGCCATCGGATTACCGAGGAAACGTCATTTTTCGATTTGCGGAGGAAAAATCGTTCAGAATTCGACCCATGTATGGCCTGCATAAGAAATGGAGAAGATCTTGGGAGGAGATACCCTGAGATATCCATGTGTTCAAGGAGTGCTGGTGACCTGGTGTGATGTTGAGAGTAGTTGTATAAAGCTTTATATGGCTTCTCTATAATTAGAGAATCCTGCATTCTTGGAGAGCCTCTCGGCGTGTCTGCATGGTGGCGGCAACACTTGTGATGTGGAGCAGAGCACCTTTCTTTATGGACTTTCTGTATTCTTTATTTTGAATGTATTTACTTTTATGAGTAGATTTATTGATTTATTATTTTTTTATTGCATAGATACATGTGTGTTTGTGTAGCATCATTGGTTTGGGCAGCATATCGGTTTGATCATTTTTTTGACTATGGTAAATATTGTAGCATGCCAGCTGCTTTTTATTGGTTTGAAAACATTTAGCGTGGTTACACTTTTGAGGAACATTCATTGTTATAACAGCTTGATCTAATATCAAAGAGTTATTATGGACACACCACTATAAAAAAAAATGAAATAAAATGCCAATAAACCGCTGATATGGCAACCATTTCTAACCCATATTTAATGGTCATATATTTAGTGTTGGTTTGTGAAACATAACAAAAACAGCAGACGAGTGTGTGTATATACAGACAGATAATAGTGACAGAATTTATCTTGGGAGGATATGGATATGACGTCACAACGTAGAATGAACCATCTAGAAGTTTATTCCTCTAAAATCGAAGTGGCTATAGAACAGATCCAGTAGAGTATTCCATACACCATCAAGTTCAATGAAAACAGTGCCAATATAATTTAAAACCTCATAAGGAAAATAAATAATCACAAAATTTACATTATTGGTGGACTAAAAATACTCCATACTTTTTTCCTTCATTAATATACAGTTTATTGAACGTGAGCTGGCATCTGATCCAGGCTGTGCCTCCCCAGTACAGTGGATTACTTTGACCTGGTCATGCTTGGACGGAGCTGCAAGGTTCCTTCAGCCCAGGAACCAGGATATTGTCCCATCTTCTTCCATAGGCTCAGCTCTTCTCCGGTGGAGTCCATCCAGTCTACCGGCTGTCCATTGAATACGCCTAGAACAAGACAAGCCAATGAATTTGGTAAAAATTGGTAAACTCCAGTTAGAAAACAATACCTTTCCTCCTTATTTATAACATGATTTATAGTTAAACCTGACCTCCAGCCTTCCCTTCAGTCTTCTGGTAGAGCAGGGGTGTCAACCTGCGGCCCTCCTGTTGTTGCAGAACTACAAATCCCATATGGCATTGCGGGGCTGACAATTAAAAGCATGACTCCCAAAGGCACAGGCATGATGGGACTTGTAGTTTCTCAACAGCTGGAGGGCCGCAGTTTGACACCCGTGTTGTAGAGGCTCCTCTCCTGGACTGAAATAGCTTACTCTGATTTTACCTTACTACAAAGGTACAATGTGGCAGTCAGATTAGTGGGGGACAGGAAACTGGGGAAATGCTTCCTCCGGCCTGCAGCAGACTGAGGACATCATCTCAGGCTATGTATGCAGAAGCAGAATCCATGAGTAGAATATGGCACCAGGAGGCTTTCCTACACAGATCAGCAAAGCTGGAGGGCTGTGAGCAGGAAGTAGTGTGGTTGCTGACCAGTCCTATAGCAGCAGCAATATATTGTCTAAACCATGCCAACCAAGGCCAAGTCACTGAACTTCTCAGTTTCAGTTATCAGAAAACAGCATGTGTTGCAATATTGGTCATAAAGATTTCTTTCATTCTGTTTAGTCAAATGAGTATTACACATTTAATTGTACTACTGTATTATCCATCTGCAAACAGCAGATGGCACACTGAAGACTGTGCAACATCTTACTGAATCATTATACTATTATGCTGTGAATAGACTGTAATCTGATGTGTTATCCAGATCCACACACAACTCATTAAGTCAGATGAGGGACACCCTTCCCCTCTATTTCCATCTCACACACCATTGGGACTCTGCAGTCCATCTCACACACCACTGGGACTCTGCAGTCCATCTCACACACCACTGGGACTCTGCAGTCCATCTCACACACCACTGGGACTCTGCAGTCCATCTCACACACCACTGGGACTCTTCAGTCCATCTCATACACACATTACGACTCTTCAGTCCATCTCATACACCATTCCAACTCTTCAGTCCATCTCACACACCATTCCGAATCTTCAGTCCATCTCACACACCATTCCGACTCTTCAGTCCATCTCACACACCATTCCGAATCTTCAGTCCATCTCATACACCATTCTGACTCTTCAGTCCATCTCATGCACCATTCTGACTCTTCAGTCCATCTCACACACCATTCCGACTCTTCAGTCCATCTCACACACACCACTGGGACTCTTCAGTCCATCTCATACACCATTCCAACTCTTCAGTCCATCTCACACACACATTCCGAATCTTCAGTCCATCTCACACACCATTCCGAATCTTCAGTCCATCTCATACACCATTCTGACTCTTCAGTCCATCTCATTCACCATTCCGACTCTTCAGTCCATCTCATACACCACTGGGACTCTTCAGTCATCAAGTCCCATGGAAAGCTGTTACACAGTAGGACCAAAGACCCCACTCACCAGTTCCAGGACCCAGTCTTACTCCTCCCAGGAAATCATTGCTGGACAGAGGTTCTCGATCCCAGACTGTCAGTTCCAGGCATGTGTTCTGGAGATCATCAGGCTTGACGCCATTATAGACAAACGTGTGATTGTAGTGAGGATTCAGCATCTTCTTGACTACCGGTGTCTTCCTCTTGGTGTTCCGACCTTTGATTGGTAGTAAATATCTGTAGAGGAACCAAGAAAGATTTTCTTTCAGCTCAACATCAAATGTCAATGGATTTTATAAAGAAAGTTGACCCTGTGTATAACAGTCAAAGCATATATCAACAGCACACCATGGATCTTCACGATGACATTCAAACGTTTATTAAAGTGGTCACATCACAGCTGTAAAGGTACTGTGTTTTGGGGCCTTGCAGGACCCCTTTCCAAGGAGCAGAGCCCTCCTAACCAGGGGCGGGCTGACAACTCATGGGGCCCCCGATCAATAGGGGGATCATTGGGGCCCCTGTGTCCTTGCCCAAACTCAAAAAAGCCTATGAAAAAGGTACCAGGGGCATCTCATGGGGCCCCCTACTGACCCCGGGCCCTCGGGCAGTGCCCGAGTTTCCAAATGGTCAGTCCGCCCCTGCTCCTAACCCTCTTGTATTGCACTGCATTGTTGCTGGATTGTCTCCTGTCATATTGTAAAGCTCTGAGCAAACTGTTGGCGCCATATAAATCCTGTATAATAATAATAATAACTAGGCATGTGATGAAGGGTTCCTGCATGACCCCTAAACTTTGCTCCTTTACCACAGTGATGTGATGACTTTTAATACCTTCTTTCTGGGGGAAAACATTCACATACATGAAACAAATCTACATTTTTGCTAGAAAATTACTTAAAACATTTTCTAAAAGCAGAGGCCCTGGAAAATAAAATGGTGGCTGCTGCAATTATTTAAATCACACGATATTCAGGAAGAATCTACATTTTAAATGAATTTTCCTGCATACAAACACAATTTAATACTACATTTTTTTGGTGAAATATAAAAGATAATGTTGTGTTGTCTTTTTAAAGACACCAAACATGTCAAGATTTAAAACTGCGCATGCCTGGGAAAAATTTGACAAATTACAATACCTAAAATTGTCCATAAGGGATGCTTTCAAAGTGAATTATGGACCTAGAATTATTGCTCTTACTCTGACATTCATGGTGATACCTCACATGTGTGGAGCAATCACCGTTTAGATTTAGATATGGAACTACGCACGCATTTGCATGTATGCATGAGGGGACAGGCATGCTCTAAAATCTTTTTAAAATTTTTTTTTTTTCTTCCACATTTTTTTTTTTAATTTAACAAGCCCCCTTGTGATATCTTTGAGTAGGTGACAGGTACACGTTATGGAGACATTTAGACCCCTAATGTCTCCCCTGTCCTCCAAAGCAGCTAACAAAGCACCAATCGTGTTTACTCAGCTGCTTCCCTGGCTGTATGTCAGTCAGCAACTGCTTAATAAACATTAGGACATTATCTTAAAGTGTTCCTAAATCCCGGACCCTGCATTCACTATATCCGGTCTCCCCGGACCCTGCATTCATTATATCCAGTCTCCCCGGACCCTGCATTCATTATATCCGGTCTCCCCGGACCTGCATTCACTATATATCGGTCTCCCCGGACCCTGCATTCACTATATCTGGTCTCCCCGGACCCTGCATTCACTATATCCGGTCTCCCCGGACCCTGCATTCACTATATCTGGTCTCCCCGAACCCCGCATTCACTATATCCGGTCTCTCCCGGACCCTGCATTCACTATATCCGCTCTCCCCAGACCCTGCATTCACTATATCCGCTCTCCCCGGACCCTGCATTCACTATATCCGCTCTCCCCGGACCCTGCATTCACTATATCCGGTCTCCCCGGACCCTGCATTCACTATATCCGGTCTCCCCGGACTCTGCATTCACTATATCCGGTCTCCCCGGACCCTGCATTCACCATATCCGGTCTCCCCGGACCCTGCATTCACTATATGTGGTCTCCCCAGACCCTGCATTCACTATATCTGGTCTCCTCGGACCCTGCAAGCACTATATCCGGTCTCCCTAGACCCTGCATGCACTATATCCGGTCTCCCTGGACCCTGCATTCACTATATCCGGTCTCCTCGGACCCTGCATTCACTATATCCGGTCTCCCCAGACCCTGCATTCACTATATCCGGTCTCCCCGGACCCTGAATTCATTATATCTGGTCTCCCCGGGACCCTGCATTCACTATATACGGTCTCCCCGGACCCCGAATTCACTATATCCGCTCTCTCCCTGGACCCTGCATTCACTATATGTGGTCTCCCCGGACCCTGCATTCACTATATCTGGTCTCCCCGGACCCTGCATTCACTATATTAGGTCTCCCTGGACCCTGCATTCACTATATGTGCTCTCCCCAGACCCTGCATTCACTATATCTGCTCTCCCCGGACCCTGCATTCACTATATTAGGTCTCCCCGGACCCTGCATTCACTATATCCGGTCTCCCCGGACCCTGCATTCACTAGTGACACTAGTGGGAACCAGTGACACTAATATAGTGATCAGCGCTAAAATATACAGTCACTGTACTAATGACACTGGCTCGGAAGGGGTTAAACATCTGGGGCAATCAAAGGGTTAAATGTGTGCCTATCCAGTGTTTGTGTGTGTGTGTGTGTACAGTGTGCTGCTTTCACTAAGAGATGTGCTGGATTTTAGACCCTGCTTTGCAGGGAAACAAAGTCCAGCACATCCCCGCGGACAGGACGGAGCTCTGCATTGTATTACATATGTAGAGCTCTGTCCAGTGTGTCAGTTCGATGATCAGCAGGTGCCAGTGGTCATTCATTGACCGGCACCCATTGATCGACTTCTGCAGTGACTAATCACAGCAAGAGCGGCATGGCGGCAGCGTACGCGCGTGCCCTCAACCCAGAGGTGCAGAATCACGTATATATACAAGATTCTGCACAGAGCGGCCGCCCTATTTTGGCGGTTGGCAGCTGGATAGTCTCCCTCACTTCCATGTGTGTATATTAGTGTATCCCCTTTGGTTCCTCCTGCCGACCTCTATGTCATAACTGTGTTCAGCAATGCTAAGCCCTGATTCACACCAGTGCAACTTAAGGTGTGACATAAGATTGGACTGAGGCATTATAACAAAATATCACATTTTGGGCACTAGATGGAGCTTCGGTCATACAGAATAGTATATAACAAGTAGTTACATAGTTACATAAAAAAAAGACAAAAGTCCATCCAGTTCAACCATTAAAAAAAAAAAAGTTATAATCCTACACCCACAGTTCATCCAGAGGAAGGCAAAAAACCCAGCAAAGCATGATCCAATTTGCTCCTGCAGGGGAAAAAAATTCTTTCCTGATCCCCCGAGAGGCAATCAGATATTCCCTGGATCAACTTTACCTATAAATGTTATATCCAGTTATATTCTGTGTATCCAAGAAAGAATCCAGGACTTTTTTTAAAAGCAATTCACTGAGCTGACCAGAACCAACTCTTGAGGGAGTCTATTCCACATTTTCACAGCACTTACTGTGAAGAAACCTTTCCGTGTTTGGAGATTACATTTCTTTTCCTCCAGATGTAAAGAGCGCCCCCTTGTCCTCTGTGATGACCTCAGGGTGAATAACTCTACACCAAGTTCACTATATGAACCACTGATGTATTATACATGGAGATCATATCCCCCCTTATGTATTATACATGGAGATCATATCCCCCCTTATGTATTATACATGGAGATCATATCCCCCCTTATGTATTATACATGGAGATCATATCCCCCCCTTATATGTATTATACATGGAGATCATATCCCCCCCTTATGTATTATACATGGTGATCATATCCTCCCCTTATGTATTATACATGGAGATCATATCCCCCCTTATGTATTATACATGGAGATCATATCCCCCCTATGTATTATACATGGTGATCATACCCCCCTTATGTATTATACATGGTGATCATATCCCCCCCTTATGTATTATACATGGAGATCATATCCCCCTTATTATACATGGAGATCATATCCCACCTTATGTATTATAAATGGAGATCATATCCCCCTTATGTATTATACATGGTGATCATATCCCCCTTATGTATTATACATGGAGATCATATCCCCCTTATTATACATGGAGATCATATCCCACCTTATGTATTATAAATGGAGATCATATCCCCCTTATGTATTAATACACGGAGATCATATCCCCCCTTATGTATTATACATAGAGATCATATCCCCCCCACCTCACCCCCTTGGTCTCAGCCCGAATCACACACCTACTGAGCGACATATCAGACTGGATGTCGCTCCACTTTCCTTAAATTGAACCTCTCCAAAAACGAGTTTCTTGTCTTCCCCCCAGCCCGGACACCACCCCCCATTGATTTCTCCGTCACATCCAACAACGCTACCATCAAACCCGCCCTGCAGGCCAGAGTACTGGGTGTCATTCTGGACTCCAACCTATCCTTCCAGCCCCAAGTCCAATCTTTAACAAACTCGTGCAGACTCCACCTCCGCAACATCGCCAAAATCCGCACGTTCCTAACCCCAGAAACCACTAAACAGCTCATCCACTCCCTCATCATATCACGACTCGACTACTGCAACTCCCTCCTCACTGGCCTGCCTCGCCGCTGGCTATCCCCTCTTCAGTCCATCCTGAACACGGCTGCCAGACTCATTCACCTTTCCAACCGCTCTGTCTCCGCCACCCCCCTCTGCCAATCCCTCCACTGGCTTCCGATTGCGCAACGGATCAAATTCAAAATCCTAACGCTGACGTACAAAGCTGTCCACCATACTGCCCCGAACTACATCACCGACCTAATATCCAAGTACCACCCAACACGCACACTCCGCTCCTCACAAGACCTCCTTCTCTCTAGTTCCCTGGTCTCCTCCTCCCATGCCCGCCTCCAGGACTTCTCCAGGGTGTCACCCATCCTCTGGAACTCCCTGCCCCAACCCATCAGATTATCACCTACTCTCCTCTCCTTTAGGCGCACCCTGAAAACCCATCTCTTCAGGGAAGCCTACCCCACCCCCTGCTAACTTGCCTCCCTCCTCCACTCTTCCTACCACTCCATCCCCCACAGCTATCTCCTCCTGTGCCACCACCCCCTCCCTCCTAGATTGTAAGCTCGAAAGAGCAGGGCCCTTGATCCCCTCATGTTTTGCATTGTATTGGTATTGTTCTGTCACATGTTCTGTCTCCCTTTGTAATGTACAGCGCTGAGCGAACTATTGGCGCTTTATAAATACTGTATAATAATAATAATAATAATAATAATAATGTATTATACATGGTGATCATATCCCCCCCTTATGTATTATACATGGAGATCATATCCCCCTTATGTATTATACATGGAGATCATATCCCCCTTTATGTATTATACATGGAGATCATATCCCCCTTATATATTATACATGGTGATCATATCCCCCCTTATGTATTATACATGGAGATCATATCCCCCTTATGTATTATACATGGAGATCATATCCCCCTTATGTATTATACATGGAGATCATATCCCCCTTATGTATTATACATGGTGATCATATCCCCCCTTATGTATTATACATGGAGATCATATCCCCCCTTATGTATTATACATGGAGATCATATCCCCCCTTATGTATTATACATGGAGATCATATCCCCCTTATGTATTATACATGGAGATCATATCCCCCTTATGTATTATACATGGAGATCATACCCCCCTTATGTATTATACATGGAGATCATATCCCCCCTTATGTATTAATACATGGAGATCATATCCCGCCTTATGTATTATACATGGTGATCATATCCCCCCTATGTATTATACATGGAGATCATATCCCCCCCTTATGTATTATACATGGAGATCATATCCCCCCTTATGTATTATACATGGTGATCATATCCCCCCTTATGTATTATACATGGTGATCATATCCCCCCCCCTTATGTATTATACATGGAGATCATATCCCCCCTTATGTATTATACATGGAGATCATATTCCCCCTTATATATTATACATGGTGATCATATCCCCCTTATGTATTATACATGGAGATCATATCCCCCCTTATGTATTATACATGGAGATCATATTCCCCCTTATATATTATACATGGTGATCATATCCCCCCCTTATGTATTATACATGGAGATCATATCCCCCTTATGTATTATACATGGAGATCATATCCCCCCTTATGTATTATACATGGTGATCATATCCCCCCTTATATATTATACATGGTGATCATATCCCCCGTATGTATTATACATGGAGATCATATCCCCCCTTATGTATTATACATGGAGATCATATCCCCCCTTATATATTATACATGGTGATCATATCCCCCGTATGTATTATACATGGAGATCATATCCCCCTTATGTATTATACATGGAGATCATATCCCCCCCTTATGTATTATACATGGAGATCATATCCCCCCTTATATATTATACATGGCGATCATATCCCCCCTTATGTATTATACATGGAGATCATATCCCCCCTTATGTATTATACATGGAGATCATATCCCCCCTTAATCTCCTCTTCTCAAGAGAGAATAAATTCCATTCCTCTAATCTTTCCTCATAGCTGATCTCCTCCATGCCTCTTATCAGTTTGTTTGCCCTTCTCTGTACTTTCTCCAGTTCCCCAATGTTATTTTTGTGATTTGGTGCCCAAAACTGAACTGCATATTCCAGATGAGGTGTTACTAATGATTTGTACCGGGGGAAATGATATCTCTCTCTCTGGAGTCTATACCTCTTAATACAAGAGAGGATTTTGCTCGCTTTAGAAAGCGCAGCTTGGCATAATACAGCAAGTTTTGGTGTATCTTAGAGGATGTGTCATACTTGTTCAGCAAACTGTTTATACATAGACCTCTAGGAGCTGTCAGGAGGAACCACAGTGGTCAGCGGCGGCAGACACTATTCCATCCATCAAAGGTCCCGAATAGTATCAGTGCACAAAACTTTGCAAGGGAGACAAGTTTCAGCAAACTGGTCTCCGGACAGGTCAGCATAACCCTCCTTTATTCACATAGTGTTGCTGATTTTTAATAACCCCCCCCCCCTGACAGCATCACTGGATGCCATAGATAAAGGTAATTATTTCTCACCCCTTCACAAAGCTGTCAGATGTTCCTCCCGTTTTAACTGCCGTCAGGTTTTTGGCCTCCTTAATCCAGACATGAAGATCTCCTCCTTCTTCGGCCTTACCTTGATGAAATGTAGAGATAATATACTGCTTTATAATTTATATATCCTCCGTTTCTCACTTTAAAAGCAGCAATACTTAGTTATGTAATAATACGATGCTGCGCTTATGATAGGTTGGCTGTAAGTCCGAAGGGCGCTCCCCTCATGACTTCTATACGTTACAGTGTGGGGGATGATTGGACTCTACTCTCTCTTACTATCAGCACGTTCCCTATGGCTCCAAGTACTGTCCCCCCTCTTCCCTGCTGAGGAAAGTGAAAAAATAGTGCCAAACCCATGTGGCTATCTTATTGGTTTTGCTATACTCAAGTATTGATGTTGGATGTAGGTGACCTCGTTCCTCGGCACGTGGCTTCTACAACCCAAAGGATCTCCACAGTCTCCTTGGCTTCACAAAGATTTTATACACCATTCTAGGCTGGTCCACCCCTCTGAAGCTACTAAAGGAGTGTAATACAAGTAACCGGCACATATAGTCTACAACAGCAATGGGCAAACTACGGCCCGCGGACCTTTTAATCCGGCCCGCGGAGCGTGATACTGTCAGGATGGCTGTCAGGATGTGTGTAGGTGGGGCAGCGTGATGAACGTGAGGGGAGCTAGGCTCCTCTCACAGTCCGCCCTGAAGACCGGAACGGCGCGGGAACACGGCGAGAGGAACGCACGGAGCAAAGGTAAGTGAATTGACACAGGGAGGACTTGGGGACTTAATATGGGGGATGAATTACTATGGGGAATGAATTACTATAGGGGGGATGAATTACTATATGGGGGATGAATTACTATGGGGGATGAATTACTATGGGGGATGAATTACTATATGGGGGATTAATTACTATGGGGAATGAATTACTATATGGGGGATAAATTACTATGGGGGATGAATTACTATGGGGGATGAATTACTATATGGGGGATGAATTACTATGGGGGATGAATTACTAAATGGGGGATTAATTACTATGGGGGATGAATTACTATATGGGGGATGAATTACTATATGGGGGATGAATTACTATGGGGGATGAATTACTATATGGGGGATGAATTACTATATGGGGGATTAATTACTATGGGGGATGAATTACTATGGGGGATGAATTACTATATGGGGGATGAATTACTATATGGGGGATGAATTACTATGGGGGATGAATTACTATATGGGGGATTAATTACTATGCTTACTATGGGGGAATATTACTATACTTACTATGGATGACACATACACATCATTCATCTACTCTTGGTCCGGCCCCCGGGTCCAATATATGAACCCATTGCGGCCCTCAAGTCAAAAAGTTTGCCCACCCCTGGTCTACAGTGTGGGTCAATAGAACACATTGGGGTATGAAAACGGAGGTTTAAGCAGCCCGCTGTGAAGCGTGTACCTGTGAGAGGTGGGACATTCTCTTACAGTGGGGGGATTTGTTTTTGGCACTCTCTCTCTATGAGCGATCTGACTCCCATAGAAATGGGAGAAGATCAGCACAGCAGAGGTCCCCAGCTAGGACACAGATATGGAAGAGGAAGAGTTAAGTGAGTGCATGCATGGAGTTAGCGCTGGGTGCGTGGCGGCATTCCATTCTGTCACTGGGAGTGAGCTGGTGGAGATACACTGAGCAGGTGAAGAGGGCATAGGCTCAGCATGTCCCTCCTAAATGCAACAAGGGTCAATAGTGGTGTGCAACACACAGTAAAGGATGTGTAAGGAGAGCGAACATGTTCAAGGTATCCAGCGTAGCCCAGAAGAACCCACTCCAGGGTAGGTCTCCTATGTGACCCACACTTGGTACCCAATGAGGACGGGAACATAGAAGAAGTACCACCTACTAACCCTGCTCTGCCCTTTACAACAGGCAGGGTGCATATGCATACAGACCACCCCAGGAAATATCTACATGCAGGGCCGGGACAAGGGGTGGGCTGGAGGGGCAGCTGCCCTGGGCACAATGGGAGCAGCAAGGGGAGGTGGAGAGAGCTGGGAGGAGGTGCTGGCTGTGTCCTCACTCCCCCTTTTCCTTCCTGCCAGTTCACAGGCACACAGGAGCTGCACTAGCAGGAAGGATGAGAGGGAGAGAGAGAACAGACCCCACCACAGAGCGCAGGCTGGATTTGTATACAGACCACCCCAGGAAATGTCTACATACAGGGACAAGGGGTGGGCTGGAGGGGCGGCTGCCCTGGGCACAATGGTTAACTGCATTGTTTGGGGTGTCTTCCTTCTGTTACAAGGCTAACAAGAGTAGTGACAATGACATCACTATCCCTGTCAGCCCAGCACTGGTAGCAGCAAGGGGAGGAGGAAAGAGCTGGGAGGCGGTGCAGGCTGTGTCCTCACTCCCCCTTCTCCTTCCTGCCAGTTCATAGACACACAGGAGCTGCACTAGCAGGAAGGATGAGAGGGAGAGAGAGCACAGCCCCCCACCACAGAGTGCAGAAGAGAAAACCACAAGTGGAGGAGAGAGCCATCTACGCAAGCATGTGCCCAATGTTAAAACTGAGCTGCACAGTTATTTTGACAAGTGAGTGACTGCTGGGCTTACACATCATCAACAGGGGGCGCAGTTTGGCATCTTTTCCCTGGACGCTAGATGACCTTGTCCCGGCACTACCTACATGTGAAGCTGAGCCTAATTAAAAGATCTGAACTCAAATGAATGAAAGGGGAGGGCCAGGGATGATCAGGCTGGGGTGGAAAGGGCTAGATGATGCTGGATGCCCTCCAGTCAGGAAATGAGATGTGCTATATCAGACTTTCTGCAGCTTCTAATGCACATGGTGAGAAGCTCACAGTGTGCAGTGAAATCAGAGGAAGCCATTTCAGTCCAGGAGATGAGCCGGTACAACCGTGCAAGACTGAAGGTGAAGCTGGAGATCAGATTTGAACACCATTTTTTCATGGACTATGCAATAACTTTAGAAATGTAAAAGAGAAATTATTTCTGGAAATAAAAGTTTCACTCACTTTTTTTTCTCTCACTTCCAATCGTGGACTTGGACGGTGGGACGTACTTTAAGGACACAACCAGTTCCCCTTTGTAGTTGGGTGCCCCATCGCCACTGCCCTGTATAGAAAAAAAAAAAAAAGAGGTAATAAATAGATGCTACATACAGTATAAATGCCATCAGCACATCCCAACCTCCTGCCAGCCATGTAATGCAGATGTGTGGCAGGAAAGAGGGTTGCCAACACGTGGCACATATAGGGCTATGGGCAGCAGAGGTTTCTGTGCGGATACCGCATTCACAGCACACAGACTGAGCTGTCACAGACAGCTCCTGTGAAAAAAAGGGCATCCAAGAGGTGCTGGAAGTTTGTTTGAGTTTAAACAAGGTAGTAAGGAAGGCAAAAAACACTTGAAGAGCTCAGTGGCTCAGTCTAGGCTGCTCATAATAGGCAAGGCCACCCTACTGTGGGTACTTCAGCAGGTTAACAGGAAAAAAGTGTGCACATGGAAGCAGGGCTGCTGTTAGAACCCACGGGGCCCCATACAGCCAACCTGACAGGGCCCCACCCCCCTCAAAAAAAAACAACTGTTTACTATGCTTCTGTTATCAATGAACACAGTGAGCGATTGGTACCAATCACCCATTGTGTTCATTCAGAAAAGGAAGGGGCTTATAAATGTGACATATTTACAGGATCCTTTTCCCACTCTCCATCCTGAAGGATCCTATTGTGTGCTTGCAGCTGCCGGTGGGAAGGAGAGGAGGCAAGCCAACAGCACTGTGGCATGGGGGCACACAGGGGGCTTGGGCAGCAGGGGGAAACGTATGGTACACAGGGAGGGTTATGGGTGTGGCGAGGGGGGAGGGGGGAGTTGCTGGAACCGAAGCCCCATATGGCTCTCTCTACAGTAGCTGAAAGCCAGAATGAGGGAGAGGAGAAGAAACCAGATTTAAGCTGCTGAAGAAAGAGCCATACTGGGAATTGGTTTCAGTAATGCCCCCCCCCCCCATGCTGTGCTGATCGCCCTCCCTGCCCACATTCACTTCACCTTCACCCCCCCTGCTGGCCTGGGCCCCTTACAGGAGGAATGGTGGTACCCCCTTATCCAAGGCCCTGCATGGAAGGAGCGCTAGGCCAAAAGATAAGAATCCAAATTCATTGTTATGTTAAAAGACAGCCAACGCATTTCGGTGGTCAAAGGAACCCCCCTTCATCAGGGCTGCAATAAAACATAATATAATGTAAAAATAATTGTGACTAACAAAATCATATTAGGCTCATGATTTTATCAGTTACAATTATTTTTACATTACATTATTTATAATAGTCCTGATGAAGGGGGAGCTCCTTTGACCTCCAAAAATGCATTGGCTGTCTTAACATAACACCAATAAATGAATTTGGACTCTTATCTTTTGGTCTGGCGCTCCTTCCATATTTGCACAACAGACTGCTCCTGGTCTGTGCTACTGATTGGGGACCAACAGTACCTGCTCTTGATTATGTGACTATTGTGTCAGCCAATCACAATGGTCAAATCATAAGGCAGACCTTCCCGCAGGCAGAAAGCTGTCATATATAGAAGCGGTAGAAATTCTACATATGGGCCTTTGTCAGGAATGGACTTGTCAATAGTGGTGGGACTCACCTGCTTTGTGGGCTGCAGTACCAGGGCTGGCCAGCGGTGCTCTCAGCAATCAGAGACTCACCCCTGCAGTCAGCCAAACACCTGAAGCTGATTGCAGGGGTTGTATTTAAGGGATGGCCAGACCTGCAGTCTGTGCCTTGTTGTACTGTTTGCTTGGCCCTGGTTTCCTGATCCTGTTACTTCTGTCCTGACGCTGCCTGAACTCTGCCTGTACTGACCTCGGCTAGTCCTGACCACTCTCCCGCCTGCTCCTGGTACTCCGTTTGCCCGTTTGCTACCGACCCGGCCTGCCTGACTACTCTTGTATTGTATGTTTGTTATCTGTTGGAGGTTTGGTTCAGTTTGTTTGCACTGTGTTATGTTTAGTTTTGCACTGCGTTTGTATTGTTAGTCTTAATAAATTATATTATTTACTATATCTGAAGCCTGCGTTTCCCTGTGTCAGTCCACACACTTCTGGTCATACCCGCATCCCTGACAGTCTTGCAAAACAGGACACAGAACGATCTAACGTTTGGACGTTGGTTCAAATGCCCAAAGAAACAAAGCTTGGACTGAACTGTCAGCTCATCCCTATTCCAGGCCACCATTGTATTGCACCATTACTGTGTGTACCCAACTTCCTTAACTGACATGTTTCCTGTCATGTAGGGTCATAATTCCTTAAATAAAAATTGATCAAAATGTCGGAAATCAGTTCTCTTTCCCCTTCCGATTACCAAAAATTTGAAACTCTGATTACTGTGGAGGAATTAGGGATGGTGCTCTCGCAATCTAAACCAAAGAAGGCTCCAGGCCCTGATGGCCTGACCCCGGCCTAATATAAGACGTTTAAAAGACGTTAAAAGGTTTCCTGGCGGATGTGCTCTGGATGTATATTTCCCTGGTCCCCAAGGAAAGGAAGGGCCCCTCACACAGTGGCAGCTATCACCGGATAGCTGTACTAAATACTGACCTGAAACTTTTCATGAAAATCCTAGCTCATCGCTTACTATGTTACATCCCTTGACTGATGCACAAAGATCAAGTAGGCTTTGTCCCACTTTAGGGAGCCCTGAGACAACACCATTTGGGTCCTCAACCTGATCCTTGCCACTAAGACCTCCAAACACATGCTCGTTTTACTCTCCACCGACATTGAAGAGGCATTTGACCGGGTTAATTAGCAATTTATGCAGGCGACCCTGGCCCACATTGGCTTGGGGCCTTCATGCTCTGTTGGATTTCTTCCCTGTATTCTCAGCCCTCAGCCTCTGAAACTAGAACAAATTTTTTTTGTTCCCATTTCCTGCGGGACATGACAGAGGTGCCCCCTTTCCCCTTTCATTTTAACATTGGAACCATTTCTTTGTACAGTCCAAGCCGACTCCATTATTGCTGGCTACCACAAATCCTCTGGAATGCACAAGGTTGCAGCCAATGCGGACGACCTGATTTTTTTTCATAACAGACCCCTCACATCTTTACCCAACCCAGTGGGCTACAAACTCAATCCGGTATTTGGGAACAAATATTACGCCAGATCTTTCTGATCTATACTCTCCAAATTACACACCACTGTTGCTTAAAATCAAGGGAGACTTGTTACACTGGCATTCACTCATGCTGATCGGGTTTGGCCATTGTAGTGCTTTAAAAAAAGATGGTGCTCCCCCACGTGCCTTACTAACTGCAAGCCCTTCCCATTCGGTTACCCACGCTATTTTTTAAGAAAGTTGGTACCATGTTCTGAGCATTTATCTGATCTCATAGAAAACCATGCCTAGCTCTGCATATCCTCTTCCTACATAAGGTATGTGGGGTGGTGGTCTTCCCTATATCTGCTCCTATTACTGAGTGGCCCATCACACACATGCCTAGTCAACTGGCAGTGCAGCCAAACACTGGGTTGCCATTGAACTGGAAGATGCCCAAGGAACTGCTATGAGTTGGCTGTGGCTTAGACTCCCGTGCCCAAGGATCTTTGTATGCACCCTACTCTTGGAAATACTTTACGGGTCTCTTAGGAATCCTCTAGCAACTCATCCATCTCTCCATCTTGCTTCCCCATGGTCCCCATTTTGGGCAATCCAGATTTCATCTGAGGACTTCACAATAAGCATTTCCATCGCTTCAAAACCAGTGGATATACCTATATGACAGATTTCCTGACCTCAGACGGGGGCTTAGTCTCCACGGACCTTACCCGCTTGGTAGACCCTCCTTAGATTTCTGGGGAGACCTTCAATTGTGTCATTACCCCCACATGTTGTCTCGCATGCCAGATATTAATCGCCTGCTGACTGCCTTTGAGGCGATGTGTCATAAGGGGAACAGGTTCGCCACAGTCTCTTGATTTACTCATCCCTCGTCCATCCAGAGGCTGACTACACTTCCCCCTTTCTTACCAAATGGGAGTCTGAGTTGGGCATGTCATTCATGACTGTGCAGAAGGAAAAAATTCTACACTTTGGCCAAAAATTCTCTATTGCCACCAGGGTACAGTTATAAAATCCTTACCAGGTGGTATCAGGTCACTACCGAGCTTCACCACCTCTCACCAAGGATCTCCAATCTTTGCTGGCATTGCATCATAAAAAATTGCACTTTACTCCATATTTTCTGGCAATGCCTGAAACTCCAGTGTTGGCAGGAGGTGACTGACATAAATAAACAACTCACCGCTGTTGATTTGCAGGACAACTCAGTGGCTTGCCTGCTGTACCTGTCTGAAAGGCCCATCAAGAAATAGAAGGTCTCTCTTACAATTCAATTGCTGAACATGGCTAAGGCCTGCATCCCACTCGTTGGAATGACATTAATCTTCCTATACTATTTCTCTGGTTCTCCAAGGTGAATGAACTCAGGGACATGGAGGACCTCTTAGTCACTTTGCGTAATGTGGAAGAGACCTTTTGGGACATGTGGAGGCTTTGGAAATATTTTGTGTATATGGATGCCTACTTGAAAGAATGCACTCCCTCCCAGTGAGTTGCATTTTTCACTGGTGTTTCTCCCCCGAAGATGGTGCTCAGACCCCCTCTGTACTTCTGCTCCTTTCTCCAGCTGCTCTTCCCTTTCAGCCCCTCCTTTTCATCCTACCTTTCCTTCTCCAATTCCTTGATCTTGGTCCTTTCCTCTTCCCCACTTCCTTCTCTACCCTTTCCCCCCCAGCCACCTTTCCCTCTTTGTCCCTCTTCCTCAACCCCTGTGCTCGTCGTGTTCTTGCTCTATCACCAGACTGTTTCCTATATATCCTTCCTCCTAGAAGAGTTGATGGCAATGCCCCCCTTGCTGTCTCTCGGTTTGCAGTGTTCAAGATGATCACAGTCTATCCTATCATCTACTCCATCCCTCTATACCTTCCAGTGCTCCCTATTTATGTAATCCTCCTAAATCGGTCTCATTGTTTATGACATTCCACCGACATAGACAGTGCCATGGTCTTACATCAATGTAAATGTCCTCTACTGGCTATGGCAGTCATACCACTTATCTATATGATGTTTGTTTTTGTACGTGGATTTCTGGTGACCTGCACATATTTGTTACCTGTTTGCTTATATTTGTATCAAATAAACAAATTAAAAAAAAAAAAAAAAAAAAAATTTAAAAACTGAAATTGTTGCCACCAAATAAATCGTTGTCACTGGTAAATGAGAGAAATGTGAGAAGAGTCACCCTGCCATGCAGAGGAAGACACTCGTCCATCGTACTGTCAAAGTTCCAGGAGTCCAAAGGCAGGTTCACCTCCCCCAGGAATGTATTCCTTCCAAAGCGGTCATGGTGCCAGACAGACAGCTGTAAGGTTCTGGAGAGCAGGACCGGCTCCGGGACAATGTACTAGAGACAAAGAAATAAAGCCGAATATTTTTTGGCTTTTTAAAGATGACCAAAGTTCAGCTTTAAATAAAATAAATTATAGAGGATTTTTTTTTCAATGACATCAAATCATTCTACTTACCTGCAATGTTTCAGCATACACAGGGTTAATGGTGTTACGTTTAATTGTAGTTTTGCGTTTTCCTTGACGGGACTTGTCAGGCAGGAGATAGGACTTGACGTATCTAGAAGAAGGGATTGCAGATGTAGAACTCAACACTTCCTAAATAACACAGCAAAATATATTCTCTCTACAGAATGGCAGACCACGGTTCAGACCAAGACAGAGTGACAGTTCTTTCTGGACTTCCTGCTAGGCAGTCCCCAGCACAGGTTCCTCCCTCCTCTGCACTGATTGGTTGTTAGGACAACTAATGTCGTCACATGCATGCACCACCCTCAGCATCAGAGAAGGACAAAAGTGGACTTGCAGTCTGTCCCACCTCTAGCCCTCTTCCCATAAAAAGGTACCAGGGCCCTGTGATGGGAACACCTGATGTAAATGGGCCCTGAGATGGGGACACCTGATGTAAGGGGGTACTGCGATGGGGACACCTGATGTAAGGGGGGGTACTGCGATGGAGACACCTATGTAAGGGGGCACTGCGATGGAGACACCTGATGTAAAGGGGACACAGTGACTGGGACACCTGATGGGGACACGTGATAGAAGAGGACACTTTAAGAAGGCAGTCTGCTAGAGGCACCTGATGTAAGGGGGCACTGAAATGGGAACACTGTGATGGGGACACGTGATAGAAGGGGACACTGTGATGGGAACACCTGCTGTAAGGGGGCACTGCGATGGGGACACCTGATGTAAGGGGTACTGCGCTATGGGGCTCACCTAATGTTGAAGGGGAAAGCACTGCGATGGAGACACCTGATGTAAGGGGACACAGTGATGGGACACCTGATTGAAGAAGGCAGTCTGCTAGAGGCACCTGATGTAAGGGGGCACTGAAATGGGAACACTGTGATGGGGACACCTGATAGAAGGGGACACCGTGACGGGGACACCTTATTTAAGAAGGCAGTCTGCTGGAGGCACCTGATGTAAGGGGGCTCTGCGACACCTGAAATGGGAACACTGATGGGGCCACCTGATAGAAGGGGGGACACTGTTTATGAAGGAACACCTGAAGTAAGAAGATGGGGACACTCTGCTGGAGGCACCTGATGTAAGGGGGCACTGCGATGGGGACACTTGATGTAAGAAGGCACTCTGCTGGAGGCACCTGATGTAAGGGGCACTGAGATGGGGACACCTGATGTAAGGGGGACACCTTATGTAAGGTGGGCATTGTGATGGAGGCACCTAATGTAAGGGAGTATGGTGATAGGGACACTTAATGTAAGGGGACACTCTGCTCGAGGCACCTGAAGTAGGAGGCATGGTGATGTGGACACCTGATTCTGGGGGCACTCTGCTGGAGGCACCTGAAGTAAAGGGGGCACGGTGATGGGGAAACCTGATGTCAGGAGGTACTCTGCTGGAGGCACCTGAAGTAGGGGGTCACAGTGATGGGAACACCTGATATCAGGGGACAATCTGCTGGAGGCACCTTGAAGTAAGGGGGCTTGGTGATGGGGACATCTGATGCACGGGGGCATTGTGATGGGGCAATCGATGGTTCAATGGGCCTGTATTTTACTGCCTCCCAATCTGAAGTGTAAACTGTACCCTGTGTTTGTGTTTTACTGTCTCTCTACTGATGACAAGGTCAGTAGAATATAATACCCTTGAGGTAGGTATTTAGGGAATAGTAAACAGTGGAAAAATAGACACTAAGCGGTGAAACACACATCTCTGTCAATATGTTAACTGTAATCAGTCCCTTAAGTGTGGGTGTTTATAAATATAATATATATATATATATATATATATATATATATATATATATATATATATATGGAAACACTCTGGTGTTATATGGAAAACTGAAAAAAAAAGAAAAGAAAATGGATTACGGGTTGGAGCGTCTCTTGGCGTCATCTCCGTAAGCCAGGTTGCGGCACTCCTTTACCACAATGCTGAGGATCTGCGTCTTTCCATCGTATTTCATGGAGAAGATGATTTCTCCGGTGACTATGACGTTCCCGAAGTCTCCGGCCTTGCTGTAAATACTCATCATGCTCCCCAGAGTGCTCTGTAGGAGGGAAACAGATACATCATCACCAATTTCAATCACAATTCAAACTTACCAGTTTGTGGGTGGAATGGGAAGGGAATAAATCTTGGACTCTGAGTCCTGGCTGTGTGTGCTCACTTCTTGTCCTTGTGATCGGGGCTCAAAGGGACAGGAGGAAATAAGATACATGACCAATGGGGGGCAGCAAGAAATATACATAATTCAGTAGAGAGGGGAAAGGTGAAAATCTCTGTTGAGGTTTTTTTTTTATCAATTGTTGGCATCTTCCTGTCTCAGTCACTCCCAGGGGCGGACTGACCATTCGAGAACTCGGGCACTGCCTGAGGGCCCGGGGTCAGTAGGGGGCGCCATGAGATGCCCCTGGTACCTTTTTCATAGGCTTTTTTGAGTGTGGGCAAGGACACAGGGGCCACATGATCCCCTATTGCCCGGGGGCCCCATGAGTTGTCAGTCCGCCCCTGGTCACTCCACTCCAGCATTTCTTTACCTACTGTTAATGGGATAAAGATCCAAAGCACTCAATGTCATGGCGCACATACACACAGTGCCAGGACAAGGTCATCAAGAGTGCAGGGCCAGCCTGCCAAACTGCGCACCCCCCCCCTCCCCCCAAGATATGTGAGCATTATGTGTCAGCGAAAATCCACTCCCCCCGCAAAAAAAATTGAGTACTAATCTGTATGTTTACCCCCTAAGCATAAACTTCCCCTCCTCCCAGTACAAATCTTTGCCCCCTTCCCCTCCCCGGCTCAAATACTCTCTCCCCATATGCTCCAGCACAAATCCCCCCCACCTCCCGAAAAAAAAAATTCCCCTCCTAGCACATATCCTCTACCCCTCAAATTTTCCCTCAAAGCATTAATCCCCCCCCCCACTCCAAATCCCCTTCTTCCAGCACAAGTTCCCCTCCCCCAATCCACCATCCTAGAACAAATCCCCCCTCTACCACAGACACACAAACCTTCCCTCCTAGCACACATACCCCTCAATAATCCCTACTAGCACAAAATCCCCCCAAAAAATGTCCTCTCCAGTACAAATCCCTCCCCACACCATGTGACTTTAATGGCACAAACCCCCCAAATCCTCCCTCCTAGCACAAATCCTCATATCCCATACCCTCTCCAAACATAAATCCCCAAAAATCACTACTCCTAGCACACCTCCCCCAATTTCCACACCTAGAACAATTCTTATGCCCTGCCACCCCCCAAATTTACCTTCTCAATGCAAATCTTCTGCCCCCAATCTCCTTGTGGTGTCCCCCCTCCACCTTACATAATACCACAGTGCTCAGGGCAGCTGCCCCTCCTGCCCACCCCTGCATATACATACATTGTCAGAGCACACATACACGAAGTCAGCAAAAACATAATAATATACATCATATACAAAATGTATTTTAAACATACAAATGTAAAAAAAAAATTTTTTTGGGGTGGGGACATTTGTATGTTTTAAATAGGTTTTGTTTATAATGATGTATATAATTATTATTGTACTTTTTATTTATTCTAGTGATTCATCTCAAGCATGGATCCAGGGGAAGCAAATATAGTGAAACGCGTTGATCCTAAACACTTGCTATACATTACTAATAACATCCAACAATTGTATGCCACTGCTGGATTTTCGATATTACATGTTTTTATGATGCATGTTTCTTTTTATTGGATAAGCCAATAAATATATGTTTTTATATATACTATATTGGCAAAAGTATTGGGCCGCCTGTCTTTACTCGCACATAAACTTTAATGGCATCCCAGTCTTAGTCCGTAGGGTTCAATATTAAGTTGGCCCCGCCCTGTGCAGCTATAACAGCTTCAACTCTTCTGGGAAGGCCGTCCACAAGGTTTAGGAGGGTGTCTATGGGAAGATTGGACCATTCTTCCAGAAGCACATTTGTGAGGTCAGGCACTGATGTCGGGGGAGGAGGCCTGGCTCGCAGTCTCCGTTCTAATTCATCCCAAAGGTGTTCTATGGGATTGAGGTCAGGACTCTGTGCAGGCCAGTCAAGTTCCTCCACCCCAAACTGGCTCCTCCATGTCTTTATGGACCTTGCTTTGTGCACTGGTGTGTAGTCATGTTGGAACAGGAAGGGGCCATGCCCAAACTATTCTCACAAATTTGGGATCATGAAATTGTCCAAAATGTCTTGGTATGCTGATGTCTTAAGTGTTACCTTTACTGGAACTAGGGGGCCAAGCCCATGCCCTGAAAAACAACCCCACACCATAATCCCCCCTCTACCAAACTTTACACTTGGCTCAATGCAGTCAGGCAAGTAATGTTCTCCTGGCAACCTCCAAACCTAGACACGTCTATCGGATTGCCAAACAGAAGGGTGATTCATACTCTAGAGTCCAGTGCTGGCGTGCTTTACACCACTGCATCCGACGCTTTGCATTGCACTTGGTGATGTAAGGCTTGGATGCAGAAACCCATTTCATGAAGCTCTCTACACACTGTTGTTGTAATCTGAAAGCCACACCAAGTTTGGAGGTCTTTAGCTATTGACTCTGCAGACAGTTGGTGACTTCTGCGCACTGTGCTCTGTCATGTTACGTGGCCTACCACTTGGTGGCTGAGTTGCTGTTGTTCCCAGTTGCTTCCACTTTGTTATAATCCCACTAACAGTTGAGCGTGGAATATTTAGTAGCCAGGAAATGTCACGGATGGACTTATTGCACAGGTGGCAACCTATCACGGGACCACGCTTGGAGTCACTGAGCTCCTGAGAGCGACCCATTTTTTCATAAATGTTTGTAGAAGCAGTCTGCATGCCTTGGTGCTTGATTTAATACAGCTATCACATACCTGGTGGTGGAGGCCAATGGAGAGAGGGCTTTCCTTGCGGCTAAGTTCCGGACTCCCCTGAGAGTGGGACAGAGGGAGTGTGGCCCAAATTGGAACAGTTCACCTGTAGGAATGCTGGTTGGTGGTCCACTCAGAAGCACAGCTGGTGCATGGAGATAGGTCTGCAGACAGGAGGTGCCCGTGCGTGGTATGTAAGCCCTTCCGGGATTTAGATGTTTACTGGGTAGTCGGTTCAAGCCAAGGTCAGGTTCCAGGTGGGAATCAGAGCAGACGTAGTCAGATGGGATAGTCGAGGTCATACACAGAGGAGCGAGAGAGAGAGTATCCGTAAGCCAAGCCGAGGTCAGATCAGGGGTAAAGCAGAGTAGATGGGTTCAGGAGCAAGCCGAGTCGGTAACAGGAAATCACAGGTCGCAATCACAGGAAACAGGAACAGGGCACAGGGAGCTAGAAATCATCCAGCAACTTGGAGGAAGTGATGAGCCTCCTTATAAAGCCAGTTTGGCACCAAACTGAGGCTGATGTGTACTTCTGCGGCCATGCAGAGTACTGGCAGAAATTCCAGATCTTCCAGAACTTCTGCCGTGGACAGGACCCTGATAACACCTGTGGCCATGGAGGTGATTGGAACACCTGAATCCAATGATTTTAGCAATATAGTGTAGTTGTGTTGTATATATTTCCCATTGATGGGCACATACAAAGTCCCCCTTACTCTAAGCGGGATATCCCCATCTAGTAATAGGTGTAGTTTCCCGCTTTGTTACTTTTTTATTGAAAACAATTTTGGGATGGTGCCACAATGTTGATTTTCATGTTAGACTCTGACTACACATCTTTTGAATGTACAAACATGCAGTACACACAAACAGGCAAGCTTGCATGCACATGCAGAGCGCGCGCACGCGCACACACACACACACACCACACAATGCATGCACAGTCAGAGCATACAATGCACGCAAGACATGCCCAGTCAGAGCACACACACAACACACTGCATGCAGAGAGAATACAAATATTTTACAATACCACTTGTTAATGTTGTAGTAATCATAGAAGATCATGGAGACCCCATGGTTGAATTTTTATTTCTTCTCCTTACATTGTGCTGATGTAACACCCTTCAGATTCAGCTAGGGGGAGTTAGTTCTTTTTTAGACAGAAACTTGTCAGGAGCCTGGGTGTGAGTCAGCCAGGTTACTTTAGGTCTGGGCTGAGGGCTTTACAGGTGAGTTCTCTGATACCTCCCCCTGCTCTACAAGCTGGAGAAATTTCTAGAAGTCAGTGGGTGAGGAGGAGCTGGCCTGCTACTTAAGGGACCTTTGCCACTCCCCAAGCAGGAGGCTTGGCATAGGACCAGGACATCCCTTAAATATGATTAAGCCTGATCAGCAGGGTCAGTGTTGGGTAGAAGATGGAGTGTGAAGCCTGGGAGGGGGCCCAGGGAAGGGGCCTACCTACTGGCAGGGTGCTGAAAGGATCTCTCTGCCTCAATGTCTCCTGAGAGAGGACAGCCTTTGGGGCAGGGAAGAAGCCAGCCCAGCGTCAGGCCTGAAGGGAGACACCAACCCACTAAATTTGCAGGAGAGACAGAGTGAGTAATCCTAAACCCCCTGGGCTGGATAAGGGGAGAGGGCAGTCAGGTTGAGAACCCAACTAACTCCTCATCTGGGACTGTTTCAAGTTAGCAGCTTCTGGGTCCCCTTGCCCAGGGAATATCCTTAGCGCAGCTGGGTGAAGAGGAGGATTCATCTGGGGTTTGAGGAGGTACACCAGAGAGCTGGAATGCTCTCAAAGGAAAGACTATTTTTGGTCCACATTTTTGTACATAGTACTCACGTTTGCAGTTGCTTGGGCATCCCATGCACCCCTCAACCTCATTTAAATTCTAAACCCCTTAATAGAAATCCCAAAACCAAGATCAAGGACTGTTTATGGACCCTGAGTACAAAGTGTGGAGGAATATGCATGTTGCCTGGTTGTGCAGAGCTTTAGAGGGACCCAAAAACTCATCAACCCCTAAGGGGGTAGTGCTACATGTAATAGAATAACTGAATGTGGATATAGTCATGTACAAAAATGTGGACCAAAAATAGTCTTTCCTTTGAGAGCATTCCAGCTCACTGTATAATGTAATATGGTGAATTGGTTGGTGTACAAGTACAGTGTGCTCACTAACAGAGAGGACACGAGCATCCCTCAGGTAAACCTACTCACATACAGTACATAACACAGCAGCATTTAGTCCTTGTAAATATGGAGGATATTAGCACAGGTCATATAATGGATTATTAACATACAGAGGGCCACAGGATGACGGTGCCATAACATACACAGCTATAAGAAGTTATTCAGATGAGGTAATAAGAATAGGGATAGACTATGTATTATTGTGGCTGTGGTACTCATGGCACCATCATGACGAACCATGTGCCAATATGACCACATTACTAGAGCATACGTGTTGCATTCCAGATGGCCAAGCCCCACTTGTGATGTCATGACAATATTTAAGAACTGTCATCCTGGTGCAGCTGTCAGACGGCGGGAGCCAGCGTCGAGAGCGGAGCTTTTTTTTTCTCTATTTTCAGGTTGCCGGTGGCAGCGGGAATCATGATTGACGTTGGATCTACTTCGGGGGACTTTTTTGTTTTGTTTTTAATAAAAGGACTTGTCAAAGATTGTCTCCTGTTATTTTTACACTAGACTTTTTTTGTGAATGGGTAGCAGTACCATGCACCCCATACTCATTCACATGGGGAGCAGGATCTGGGGGCCCCATGTTAAGGGGGCTTCCAGATTCTGATAAGCCCCCCACCCGCAGACCCCCTTAACCACCAGCCACAGTTTTGGGGAAGAGGCCCTTGTCCGCCCCATCTTGAGGGCATGTGGCCTGGTATAGTTAAGGAGGGGGGCGTTTGCTCATTCCCCCCCTTTCCTGACCTGCCGGGCTGCATTTTTGGATAAGGGTCTGGTAAGGATTTGGGGGGGGGCTCAAAATCCATATCAGAACTGAAGGGCTTGGATGAATGGGGGGACCCCACATTGTTGTTTTTTTTTTTTTTTATGCCTTTTTTACATTCAGCTTCCGGGAACCCTGCTGGCAGCTGAAATATTAAAGAATGTCTTCACTACTAAAATATCGCAAGACTTCATAATATAACTTGGTATTTTAGTAGCTGTGAGATATTTTTCCACATATTCAGATGTAGTAAGATACCGCTTAGTGAATTGTCCCTGTTCAAAGTTTGCAGTCGTACTTTTGGTAGTTTCCAATGTTCTACTGTGAATCGAACAGCGGGGTGTTCGGTCCATCACTAGTGATCAGCTCTTAAAAAATCTGTGTACTAATGATCAGATAATTAGAGGATCGCTCTAAAAGTGGTATGTTTCATCCAATATTCTCATTTTGTGTATGAAGCTTAAGTTTTTTATATTTCATTTAAAATAAAATGGTTCTAACCGTGGACGTCCCACTGCGCAAACTGCCTCTTTGCGTATTCAAACGATGGATTTCTACCAAATTATCAATATCTTCATCTTCCTCTTCCTATGAAAAACAAAAATAGTGAAAATGAACAAAGTAGCAGACGGGCAACAACAATTTTTTGTTAGTGAGTGAAAGGTTATATCAAAGTAACATGAAATAAATAACATTGGATTTTAATAAGGCACCTGGTCTGAATTAAGAAACCCGGTGCCAAGGCAACCGAAAATTGTGCAGCGTGGCAAACTGAGATTGTCTTTATCCTACTGAGCCTGAAAGGAATATTGTTTTCTGAGATTCAGAGATTTTATTCATTTATAGCGTGCACTGTACAGTGAAATCACACAGAGTGAATATAATGCACAATACGAACCATTTCTACATTCAGCCCAGGAACAGACTTGCTTCGATCCCCCATGGTGCTTTCTTCTTCGACCTTCTCTTCTGGACGTAGGTCTATGGTGGACTTACTGTAATCTAAAATGTACATTAAAGGAAACACGCTTCAGATAAATGCATAGTTCTACATTGTCATTGATGTAATATCCATTAATATCTTACATCATCATAGCCAAAAAAAAATAATAAATAACTATATATATTATATATATATATATATATATATATATATATATATATATATATATATATAAAAAATAATTTGTACACACAGTATTTTCAATATCATCCATCACCAATATTGTCATTAATATGATCCATCATCCTCAGAAATATCATCCATTGTAATGATCAACCACATCATCAATATCATCCTCGTCAATGTCAACCATTATCAATATCATCACCAATATCATCCTTGTCAATGTCAACCATCAATAATATCATCCTCATCAATGTCAACCATCAATAATATCATTCTCATCAATGTCAACCATTATCAATATCATACTCATCAATGTCAACCATCATGAATATCTTCCTCATCAATCTCAACCATCATCATCCTCATCAATGTCAACCATCATCATCAACCATCTTCATCATCATTAACATCCTTAGCAATGTCAACCATCATCAATATCATCCTCATCAATGTCAACCATCAATAATATCATCCTCGTCAATGTCAACCATCAATAATATCATCCTCGTCAATGTCAACCATCAATAATATCATCCTCGTCAATGTCAACCATCAATAATATCATCCTCATCAATGTCAACCATCATGAATATCTTCCTCATCAATCTCAACCATCATCATCCTCATCAATGTCAACAATTATCATCAACCATCATCATCATCATCATTAACATCCTTAGCAATGTCAACCATCATCAATATCATCCTCATCAATGTCAACCATTATCATCATCAATGTCAACCATTATCAATATCATTATCAAGATCCCTTCAATGTCAATCATCAACAATATAAATCATCAATGTCAACCATTTTCAATATCATCATCATCATCATCATCAAATATTCCTTGTCAATGTCAACCATCAACAATATCCTCATCATCATGTCAACCATTTATCAAACCATTTTCATATCATCTTCCTCATCAATGTCACCATACAAATATCATAAATATCATCCTTGTCAACGTCAGCAATCATTAATATCATCCTCGTCAATGTCAATCATCAATAATATCATCCTCATCACTGTCAACCATTATCAATATCATCATTAATATCATTCTTGTCAATGTTAACCATCAACAATAACATCCTCATCAATGTCAACCATTATCAATATCAACCATAATTAATAACATCCTCATCAGTGTCAATCATCGTCAACCATCATCATCCTCATCATCGATATCAACCATCATCATCATTAGCATCCTTAGCAATGTCAACCATCATCAATAGTATCCTCATCAATGTCAACCATTATCAATATCATCATCAATAGCATCCTCATCAATGTCAACCATTATCAATATCATCATCAATATCATCCTCATCAATGTCAACCATTATCAATATCATCATCAATATCATCCAGGTCAATGTCAGTCATCAACAATATAAATCTGATCAATGTCAACCATTTTCAATATCATCATCATCAGAAATATTCCTTGTCAATGTCAACCATCAACAATATCCTCATCACTGTCAACCATTTTCAATATCATCTTCCTCATCAATGTCACCATACAAATATCATAAATATCATCCTTGTCAACGTCAACCATCATTAATATCATCCTCGTCAATGTCAATCATCAATAATATCATCCTCATCACTGTCAACCATTATCAATATCATCATTAATATCATTCTTGTCAATGTTAACCATCAACAATAACATCCTCATCAATGTCAACCATTATCAATATCAACCATAATTAATAACATCCTCATCAGTGTCAATCATCGTCAACCATCATCATCCTCATCGATATCAACCATCATCATCATTAGCATCCTTAGCAATGTCAACCATCATCAATAGTATCCTCATCAATGTCAACCATTATCAATATCATCATCAATAGCATCCTCATCAATGTCAACCATTATCAATATCATCATCAATATCATCCTCATCAATGTCAACCATTATCAATATCATCATCAATATCATCCAGGTCAATGTCAGTCATCAACAATATAAATCTTATCAATGTCAACCATTATCAATATCATCATCAATAGCATCCTCATCAATGTCAACCATTATCAATATCATCATCAATAGCATCCTCATCAATGTCAACCATTATCAATATCATCATCAATATCATCCTCATCAATGTCAACCATTATCAATATCATCATCAATATCATCCAGGTCAATGTCAGTCATCAACAATATAAATCTTATCAATGTCAACCATTATCAATATCATCATCATCATATCAACCATCATAAATAACCTTGTCAATGTCAACCATCAACAATATCATCCATCATCAATGTCAACCATTATCAGTATCATCTTCCTCATCAATGTCATCATATAAATATCATCCTTGTCAATGTCAACCATTATCAATATCATTCTCATCAATGTCAACCATCAATATCATCCTCATCAATGTCAACCATTATCATTATCAATATCAATATCATCCTCTATCTCATGTCAACCATCAACAGTATCATCCTCATCAATGTCAACCATCAACAGTATCATCCTCATCAATGTCAACCATCAATAATATCATCATCACTCGCTGCTGTCAACTATCATCAATATCATCCTCCTTAAATACAACCATCATCAATATCATCTATCATTCCCTTCATAATTAAAAAAAAAAAAAAAAAAGTTGTTTCAATTTGGTTTTAGTAATGATGTGCCCTAATTTGGACACTTTATCATGTTTATTTTCTCCTGATGAAGCCACCTAAGATTAAAGCAGTATTAATCCCAAAACCAAAGTTTTAACATATTGCATCTTATCAATCATTAGATGTGGTGGTTGCATTTGTTTTCTTTTTTTATGCTCTTACCATTCACTTCAGCAAACTGTTACTTCTTCCCAGTGTTCACTTACAGTATACCTAATATTTACTACTAGCATGAGTCTCATATTCATTGTCAGCCTGTCAACTGCCCTTTACATTAGCACAGAAGACATAAAAAAAAATAAATTTTAGACCTGATGGCTTCAAGATTTTGCGAGTATTCTTCTTAAATAAAGTATCGCTCTCGTCTGCAGAGCCCGCACTCCGATTCCCAATGCGAGACTCCTAAATTAAAATGCAAGGATATTTTATCACAAGAATATTCAGTGAAGTCCAAAAGTTAAGAACAGAACTGCCCACAAATTTTCCTTCTACCTTTGAAGAATGTGCAAATCCCATCAAATTCATACAGCTAAGGAGGGAAATGAAATTGTTCTGGTCAAGTTTGTGGCAGGTGTACTTTAAGAGTCTCACTTATTTAGCTACACTCTTAAGAAACAAAAATAACAAAACCAATAGGCAGAACAAGGCTCCTATACAATGGACATTTAGGTGGACCTTGGGTGTCGGGAAATTTAGATGGACCTTGGGTGTCGGGAAATTTAGATGGACCTTGGCTGCCGAGACATTTAGATGGACCTTGGCTGTCGCCGGGACTCTGGCTGCCGAGACGTTTAGATGGACCTTGGCTGCCGGGACGTTTAGATGGACCTTGGCTACAGGGACGTTTAGATGGACCTTGGCTGCCGGGACGTTTAGACCGGGATTTAGATGGACCTTGGCTGCCGGGACATTTAGATGGACCTTGGCTGCCAGATGGACATTGGCTGCGGGACGTTTAGATGGACCTTGGCTGCCAGGACGTTTAGATGGACCTTGGCTGCCGGGACGTTTAGATGGACCTTGGCTGCCAGGACATTTAGATGGACCTTGGCTGCCGGGACGTTTTGATGGACCTTGGCTGCCGGGACATTTAATGGACCTTGGCTGCGGGACATTTAGATGGACCTTGGCTGCCATTTAGATGGACATTTAACATTATGGACCTTGGCTGCCAGGCATTTAGATGGACCTTGGTGCCGGGACAATTAGATGGACCTTGATTGCCTGAACATTTAGATGGACCTTGGCTGCCGAGACATTTAGATGGACCTTGGCTGCCAAGGACATTTAGATGGACCTTGGCTGCCAAGACATTTAGATGGACCTTGGCTGCCAAGACATTTAGATGGACCTTGGCTGCCAAGACATTTGGATGGACCTTGGCTGCCAAGACATTTAGGATGGACCTTGGCTGCCAGACATTTGGATGGACCTTGGCTGCCAAGACATTTGGATGAACCTTGGCTGCCGAGACATTTAAATGAACCTTGACTGCCGAGACATTTAGATGAACTTTGGCTGCCGGGACATTTAAATGAACCTTGGTTGCAGACATTTAGATGGACCTTGCTGCCGGGATATTTAGATGGACCTTTTTCTGCCGGGACATTTAGATGGACCTTGTCTGTTGGGACCTTTAGATTAACTTTGGTTGCCAGGGCATTTAGATGGACCTTGGTTGCCAGGATATTATTGGAGGAGTCCCAGATACATATGATAGCTGTCAAAAAGTATGGCAGTATTGTAGATACGGAGAATTGGAATTTAATCTTCTACACAGTAAAGCTTTTCCATGATCACCATAGAGATGAGTGAATCTAGAACTGAAGTGCCACTCCATGATATTCAAGTTTAGATACAAGTTTATTCCAATGACAGATTACTTACAAAGCCAGCACATGTTTCAGGTGCTGTATCTCTGCCCTCTTCATCAGGGCTCATAAATGACACAACAAAACTATACAGGCACAGTAGTAACAAAAAAACAAATGTTATGACTTACCTGATGACTGCATATCCCTAAGGGAGATTTCCCACCACTTCCTGTTCTGTCAAATAGACAGGAAGTAAGGAGAAGTGTCCCCAATAGGCCAAACACAGCAATAAGAGTTCAGAAGGTCTAACTCTACAATATACCGTATACTTTTGTTGTAAATACTGCAATAACATATCTTGTCTAGAAACCTACTCCTTCAGAATCAGATTGATGAAATTCTCTGGAACGGGTAGGAACATTCAGCATATCCACTTTGGCACCGCTGGGCCAATACATTTCTTTCCATCTTTTTCCATGGAATTCTTTCTAAGAAACAAAAAGGAACACATTTTGCTTTTCACTCAATCAGTGGAACTTTTTACAGTGCCAAACATAACGCATACTTATATACAACTAATACAAGCGTACCTCGGTTTACGAATTTAATTCGTTCTGCAGGATTTTTCGTATTGCAAAAAATTTGTACACCGAAACGCGGTTTCCCATAGGAATGCACTGAAAACCAATTAATCCATTCTGGAGGTTAGAAAAAAATCAAAAAAAGTCTTATCTGTTCAAAACTCTTTATAAAGTGCACTTTAAAGGCATAAATACTGTACAGGGACATGATTAAAAAAAAATTGTCAATGCATTGAAAACCAATTAATCCATTCCAGAGGTCAGAAAAAAATAAAAAAAAGCCTTATCTGTTCAAAATCTTTAGAAAGTGCACTTTAAAAAAGGCATAAATACTGTACAGGGACATGATAAAAAAAAAAATTCGTCAATGCATTGAAAACCAATTAATCCATTCCAGAGAGGTCAGGACAGAGTAAAAAAAAAGCCTTCTTCTGTTCAAAAAAACGCTCTTTATAAAGTGCACTTAAAGGCATAAATACTGTACAGGGACATGATTAAAAAAAAAATCGTAAATGCATTGAAAACCAATTAATTATCTGTTCAAAAAACTAAAAGTCTAAATTGTTCATAAAAAAAACAATTAATAAACTGAGGCATTATTTTCAATGGATTTTCATACGGATTTTCATACGTAAACCGAAAATTACATTAACCAAGGCGTTCATAAACCGAGGTATGCCTGTATTTATTATTGCAGCGTAAAAAACAAAAAAAGACATTGAAAAGTCACATTGTAGGACATAAACATATTCTAAGGAATAAGTAAAAGAAAAAAGGACATTAACTGATTGATTTAAAGAAATTCTAATAAAGGAGGAGGTGCTTAAAGTGGACCTGTGCCCAGATCATGTACACTATAGTATTTACATATGTACAAGCAGTACAAGCACTTTAACCTCTTGCCGCCCGCAAAACCTACGTGCAGTGGCAGAGGGTGGCTTTACCACCCACATGCTGCACATATGATCAAAAGAACAGTCAAGGGTTCTGTGTTGACAGCAAGCTCCCAGTACAGTGACTGAGTTGTCACAGCTCCTGTTCCTTAGTAATGATTGGAAGTTGGGACAGGCTCCCAATTATATGACTACATGATCCCTCCTCCTGCTGCTGTCCGACAACACGGGACGATGGAGACGGCAGTTCTGAGTGAGAACTTAGAGGAGAGGGAATGTGATGGAGAGAGCACACATCGCCTGCACATTGCTCGCCTCCTTTCTGCAAGCTGCCAGCTCTGGACATGTGCAGAACGAAGAAAAAAATTGTTTTATTTTGAATCGATAAGTTAACCTCTTCATGCCGAGTGTATGCAAATATGCATGGTTACATAGTTAGTCTGGCTGAAAAAAAAGACAAAAGTCCATCCAGTTCAACCATTAAAAAAAAATTATAATCCTATACCCACAGTTGATCCAGAGGAAGGCAAAAAAACAGCAAAGCATGATCCTGCAGGAAAAAAAAAAATCCTTCCTGATCCCCCGAGAGGCAATCGGATATTCCCTTGATCAACTTTATCCACAAATGTTATATCCAGTTATATTCTGTGTATCCAAGAAAGAATCCAGGACTTTTTTAAAGCAATCCACTGAGCTGGCCAGAACCAACTCTTGAGGGAGTCTATTCCACATTCTCTCACAGCTCTTACTGTGAAGAAACCTTTCCGTATTTGGAGATAAAATGTATTTTTCTCCAGACGTAAAGAGTGCCCCCTTGTCCTCTGTGATGACCTCAGGGTGAATAACTTTACACTGAGTTCACTATATGAACCACTGATGTATTTATACATGGAGATCATATCCCCCTTATGTATTATACATGGAGATCATATCCCCCCTTATGTATTATACATGGTGATCATATCCCCCTTATGTATTATACATGGAGATCATATCCCCCCTTATGTATTAAACATGGAGATCATACCCCCCCTTATGTATTATACATGGTGATCATATCCCCCCCTTATGTATTATACATGGAGATCATATCCCCCCTTATGTATTATACATGGAGATCATATCCCCCCTTATGTATTATACATGGTGATCATATCCCCCCCTTATGTATTATACATGGAGATCATATCCCCCCTTATGTATTATACATGGAGATCATATCCCCCCTTATGTATTATACATGAGATCATATCCCCCCTTATGTATTATACATGGAGATCATATCCCCCCTTATGTATTATACATGGTGATCATATCCCCCCCTTATGTATTATACATTGAGACCATTTCCCCCCTTATGTATTATACATGGAGATCATATCCCCCCTTATGTATTATACATGGTGATCATATCCCCCCTTATGTATTATACATGGTGATCATATCCCCCCTTATGTATTATACATGGAGATCATATCCCCCCTTATGTATTATACATGGTGATCATATCCCCCCTTATGTATTATACATGGAGATCATATCCCCCCTTATGTATTATACATGGAGATCATATCCCCCTTATGTATTATACATGGAGATCATATCCCCCTTATGTATTATACATGGAGATCATATCCCCCTTATGTATTACACATGGTGATCATATCCCCCCTTATGTATTATACTTGGAGATCATATCCCCCCCCCCTTATGTATTATACATGGAGATCATATCCCCCCCCTTATGTATTATACATGGTGATCATATCCCCCCTTATGTATTATACATGGAGATCATATCCCCCCTTATGTATTATACATGGAGATCATATCCCCCTTATGTATTATACATGGAGATCATATCCCCCCTTAATCTCCTCTTCTCCAGAGAGAATAAATTCAGTTCCTCTAATCTTTCCTCATAGCTGATCTCCTCCATGCCTCTTATCAGTTTGGTTGCGCTTCTCTACTTTCTCCAGTTCCCCAATGTTCTTTTTGTGAATTGGTGCCCAAAACCAAACTGCATATTCCAGATGAGGTCTTACTAATGATTTGTCCAGGGGTAAAATGATATCTCTCTCTCTGAAGTCTATACCTCTTTCAGTTCGAGTTTTGGACAAAATTTTGTTTTGTTATTTTGGATTTGTTTCAATTCGTAACGATTGTAATTCGGAAATTCAAATACATCCGAATAACAAAAATTTCATCTGAGTTTCAATTTGCAAGGAACTAAACTGCACATATCTAGCCAGCTTTCCTTCTGACCATGCAGCCTTGTGCCTCCTCTGCTCCCTTGTATAAACCACTAAAGCCCAAACTCTCCTGCTATTTTGGAGCAGATAGACTATCAGGTGGTCAGCTTGATCAAGCTGTGAATGACGGTGACTGCAGAGGAGCTGCATCATGGACAAAAACACAAGCCCACAACAACAAGCATCACCTACTAAACTAGTCTCTTTCAGACCAGTGTAGTGCCCGATTCTTATTGTTGTGGGCTTGTGTTTTTGTGACTGGGAATCAGCTTGGGCATCCTCCAAACTCATCTCTAATCTGTACGCCAAACTCCCACTTTTTTCTGCTCCAGTTGGTAGAAACCACCACCCATGATCCATGTTTCCTGGATACCCTTAGAGGTAATCAAATTGTTTTTGATTATTATGGATACATCCAGTAAGGTTACCTGCAAAATATGGTCTTGTAGGTGGGACTCCAGGTAGGTTTGGCAAATGTTGTGATTGTTGGTTTAAAGCCCTACTCCAGGCTGGTCACATGATGCACATGGTCATGTTCCTCTTTAACTTATCGCCTGGAGATGGGTAGTACATGATACAAGGAATGGTAATCACAATATTATGTCAGTGCCACTCTCTGCATGGATGCATACAGTACAGGGTGCTGTTGTGACACCTCTTCAGATGGTGGGTCTATGATGTTCTGCTCTCACAGGATGTCCTCAGAAAGCCTGACAACATCTAATGCTAGGAGGAGATTAGCACTGGAGCCAGAGACGATTTTTTTTTCTCCATTTTACACCTCCTGGGGCACCATGAAAAAACTAACAAACAAAAAAAAAATCTTTACCTGGATTTGGGATTAATTCTGCAGCATCTACCAAAGACTGAAATACAAGTTTTGGGTAGAAGAACCCTTTGAGTGAAAATCACCTTGACATGGTAGGCGTACTCTTCTTGGAGTCCGTTTTGTAGCTGCTGAGACTCATTTTCTCAGTGGATTCTGTGTCACTCCTCTGATCTCTCAGATCTCTCAGGTCTCTCAGGTCTGGAGAACCAGTTGCCTCCCTGTAATACAATTTAAGTAGGATGTGTTATCCACCATGAAATACACTCACAAGCCACTTTATTAGGTCCACCAAGAAAATCTCCCCCACACCATTACACCACCACTACCGGCCTGAACCGTTCATACAAGGCAGGATGGATCCATGTTTTCATGGTGTTTATGCCAAGTTCGGACCCTACCATCTGAATGTCGCAGCAACCAGTCTGCCCATTCCCCTCTGACATCAGCAAGGAATTTTCAGCCACACAACTGGCTCTCACTGGATATTTTCTCTTTTTCGGACCATTCTCTGTAAACCCTAGAGATGGCTGTGCGTGAAAATCCCAGTAGATCAGCAGTTTTTTTTGAAAGACTCAGACCAACCCGCCTGGCACCAACAACCATGCCACGTTCAAAGTCATTTAAATCCTCTTTTTTCCCCCATTCTGATGCGAAGTTTGAACTTCAGCATGTCATCTGCACCACGTCTAGATGCCTAAATGCATTGAGTTGCTGCCGTGTGATTGGCTGATTAGCAATTTGTGTTACCAAGCCATTGAACAGGCGTAACTAATGTGGCCGGTGAGTGTATATACTTGTCCTAGATCTCTGGTACGTCTGTTATGCCAATGGTTCAACAGACCTTGTAAACTAAGGAGCTTCCAGTGGTCTCTTGGCTTGATGTTACAGAAAGAACCCGATTGGTTATTATAAGCAACACAGATGGTTCTTAAAGTCTAGTTCAAGAAATTAGAAAAAAAAATCTATCCTCCCTGTTGCCAAGGGTGGTAAGACTACCAGTGGCGGTACAAAGTCAACCATACCCTACGTTGCTGATTGGATCCATACACCTAGGAGAATCGGAAGATGATTGCCCCATTCTTTTATATCTAGATCAGTGGTCTCCAAACTGTGGCCCAGGGTTGGACAAGGCCCTTTGCTTGCCTTTATCTGGCCCTAAGGGCAATGTTCCTCCCATTGATATGGGACAATATTCCTTCCACTGACAATGGGCCACCGACATCAATAATGGGGAACTATTTCTCCCACTGGCACCAACAATGGAGCTCCATTCCTTCCCCTAATACCAAAGACAGGGCATGGTTTACGCCCACTTGCAACAGTCCGGCCCCCTAAAATCGTAAGGACCGTAAATTGTTTAGAAAGTTTGGAGACCCCTGATGTAGATGTACAGAAGCAGATCACAATGTGCCTTAGAAGCTGCAGCAAATCAGATAGAGCTCCGCCTCATTTTCCGGCTGGAGGACGTCCGTTTTGAAGTTGTCATAATTTTTCGGAAATGAAGAAATAAAAAAAAATTATTTTCACTATTTTTTTTTTTTTTTTTTATATACTGTCACCAGTGCAGTACAGCGCATCATATAACTGGCATGGCGGTGATCAGGGACACTGACTGGTGACAGTACGAAAAAAAAAAATTGATAATTTTTTTTTTTTTTTTATTCTTTTTTATTACATTTTGTTCTTTTTTTTAAGATTTTTTTTTTTCATATTTCACTATGACCAAAGTAGTATAATGTTACCATAGTAACATTGTACTACTTTGGGGAAGTGATCAGTATTTTTTTTTTTTTTTTTTTTTTACACAATTTTCTTATAACAAAGAATTTCTTTGCTATAAGCAAGCATTTACCTGAATGAAATCGATTAATTCAGGGGTTTTTTTTTTTGTGCTTAACTGTGATCATCATCAGCATCATCTCTTTCCTCCCCAGCCTGACTGTCCCTGGCCTTCCCCTTTCACTCACTGGTTTTTGGTTCTTTTAGGCTCAGATCACATGAAGTCTGCATGAAATGTAGTCTGCCTAGGAACTCCCACTCCTCCAGACTGACTTCCACCCCTCAAGGTTTTGGATTGGCATAACTCCTACCAAGAGCCATCCTACAGCTTGCATTAGGACCAGGGGCGGACTGACCATTTGGAAACTCGGGCACTGCTTGAGGGCCCGGGGTCAGTAGGGGGCCCCATGAGATGCCCCTGGTACCTTTTTTCATAGGCTTTTTTTGAGTTTGGGCAAGGACACAGGGGCCCCATGATCCCCTATTGCCCAGGGGCCCCATGAGTTGTCAGTCCGCCCCTGATTAGGACTAAGAACTCTTGAGAAGAGTACTTAGGCAGAGTGCTGTGATGTTTTCAGAAAGCTATGTATAGCCCCCTGCCCAGCCCCTCCCACCAAACATGATCTGTCTGCATTGCATAGAGGAGCACAGAGACCCAGTGATGATGTCATTGGATCTAAAATTAAGTAGTCATGAAAATAGAAAGATTTAATTTAAAAATGTCATTAGCATATCAGGGAGAAGGAAAAGCATAAGCAGATTAAATTTCAGCTTCCACTAATGAGCACGGTGTGGACATCTGGATGGTGTTATCTGGTTACGGGAAGCAGAGATTCTGCACAGCGGGAGACCTGTGGTCTGCTTACCCATAATTCTTCTGTCGCTGCTGGGGGCTCTTCTGCTCTATTTTTACTTTCTGCTCATTCATTTGCTGTGTGTATTCGAGGAGAGCCTGCGCTGTCGTCTCTCGCTTGTTCGCTGTGGACAAGAAAGGCTCTTTAATTTCAAACAATCTTTAAATGAAAAGAAACCAAATAGCTGCACACGTCATGAATACACGGCGATTGCCTCACTGAAAGAAACGACGGCCTAAAAATAAAAGTATACAGTTGACAGATAAGGCCACAATCTATGATATGATACAACAAACACAGAGAAAGAGATCTTCAATGAGGGCCTGTGACGACATGGAAACCTGGCCTCTGCAGCACTCTGCACTTTTATTTTGCAATGTTCAATGTGTTAATGAACAAACTGAAATATATACACTGCTCAAAAAATTAAAAGAAGACTTTTTACTCAGAGTATAGTATCAAGTCAATGAAACTCCAGGGCTATTGATCTGGTCAGTTAAGTAGCACAGGGCTTTGTTAATCACTTTCAGCTGCTTTGGTGTTAATGAAATGAACAACAACAGGTGCACTGGACGGGCAACAATGAGATGACCCCCAAAAGAGAAATGGTTTTACAGGTGGAGGCCACTGACATTTTTTTTCCTGCTCATCTTTTCGGCCGTTTTTTTTGCATTTGGCTAGTGTCCGTGTCACTACTGGTAGCATGAGGCGATCCCTGGACCCTACAGAGGTTGCACAGGCAGTCTAACTCCTCCAGCATGGCACATCAATACATGCCATTGCCAGCAGGGTTTCTATGTGTCCCAGCATAGTCTCACGAGCGTGGAGGAGATTCCGGGAGACAGGCAGTTAATCTAGGAGAGCTGGACAGGGCCGTGGAAGGTCCTTAAGCCATCAGCAGGACCGGTATCTGCTTCTTTGTGCAAGGAGGAACAGGATGAGCACTGGCAGAGCTCTAGAAGATGATCTCCAGCAGGAGAGGACACACAGACCTCTACAGGCTAGACAATGGCACCCTGACTGCCATTAGGTATCGGGATAGAATCCTTGGACCCATTGTCAGACCCTACACTGGTGCAGTGGGTCCTAGGTTCCTCCTGGTGCAGTGGGTCCCGGGTTCCTCCTGGTGCAGAGGGTCCCGGGTTCCTCCTGGCCGGAGGGTCCCGGGTTCCTCCTGGTGCAGTGGGTCCCGGGTCCTGGTGCAGTGGGTCCCGGGTTCCCCCTGGTGCAGAGGGTCCCGGGTTCCCCTGGTGCCCCGGGTTCCCCCTGGTGCAGAGGGTCCCGGGTTCCTCCTGGTGCAGAGGGTCCCGGGTTCCTCCTGGTGCAGAGGGGGTTCCCCCTGGGTTCCCGGGTTCCCCCTGGTGCAGTGGGTTCCCCCTGGTGCAGGGTCCCGGGTTCCTCCTGGTGCAGTGGGTCCCGGGTTCCTCCTGGTGCAGAGGGTCCCGGGTTCCTCCTGGTGCAGAGGGTTCCCGGGTTCCTCCTGGTGCACAGGGTCCCGGGTTCCTCCTGGTGCACAGGGTCCCCTGGGTTCCTCCTGGTGCAGAGGGTCCCGGGTTCCCCCTGGTGCAGTGGGTCACGGGTTCCTCCTGGTGCAGAGGGTCACGGGTTCCTCCTGGTGCAGTGGGTCACGGGTTCCTCCTGGTGCAGTGGGTCACGGGTTCCTCCTGGTGCAGTGGGGTCCCGGGTTTCCTCCTGGTGCAGAGGGTCCCGGGTTCCTCCTGGTGCAGAGGGTCCCGGGTTCCTCCTGGTGCAGAGGGTCCCGGGTTCCTGGTGGCAGAGGGTCCCGGGTTCCTCCTGGTGCAGAGGGTCCCGGGTTCCTCCTGGTGCAGAGGGTCCCGGGTTCCTCCTGGTCCCCGGGTTCCTCCTGGTGCAGAGGGTCCCGGGTTCCTCCTGGTGCAGAGGGTCCCGGGTTCCTCCTGGTGCAGAGGGTCCCGGGTTCCTCCTGGTGCAGTGGGTCCCGGGTTCACCTGGTGCAGTGGGTCCCCTGGTGTTCCCGGGTTCCTCCTGGTGCAGTGGGTCCCGGGTTCCTCCTGGTGCAGTGGGTCCTGGGTTCCTCCTGGTGCAGAGGGTCCCGGGTTCCAGTGGGTCCTGGGTTCCTCCTGGTGCAGTGGGTCCTGGGTTCCTCCTGGTACATGACAATGCCCGGCCTCATGTGGGGAGAGTATGCAGGCAGTTCCTGGAGGAAGAAGGAATTGATACCACTGAATGGCCCCCACACCTAATTCCAATAGAACCCCTGGGATGTCATGTTTCGGTCCATCCAACGCCGCCAGGTTGCACCTCAGACTGTCCAGGAGCTCAGTGATGCCCTGGTCCAGATCTGGGAGGAAACACCCCAGGACACCATCGTGTCGCCAGGAGCCTCCCCCGGCATTGTCAGGCATGCATTCAAGCACGTGGGGGCCATACAGACTACTGAGGACCATTCTGAGTTGCTGCAATGACATCTCAGCAAAAAATGGACTCGCCTGCTGCATCAATTTTTCACATTGATTTTCGGGGTGTCTTTGAATTCAGTCCTCTGTAGGTCGATCATTTTCATTTCCATCAAACGATGGGACATACTTACGTTCCTAACACATTACCCGTCCATGTCAGTATAGAGATCCAGCAGGAGATTTTCCCCATTGAGATCTGATGGGTTTTCAAAGTCTTCCTTTCATTTTTTTGAGCCGTGTATAAAAAGTGAGCAAACAACCCTTTTACTTAACCACACACCTGGCCCCGGAGGCTTGCGGCGTAGCGATATCCTCACTAAATCGCTGCCGAGTCTGTTGGCGAAACGATTCACCTTCTGGTCATAAAACCAATCCCCAGTTGATTTTTTCAGCTCCCTGTGCAAGAAAGATGCTGTTTAAAATAACATCTACAAGCAAAAAAACCACCTGTGCCTCAATAGACTCAATGGGGTAGTACTAAAACTGAAGCACTCAGAATTGGGTGTGGCTGTGCATGGCAGCCAATCAGCTTTTAACTTCAGCTTGTTCAATTAAGTTTGGACAATAAAACATGGAAGCCAATTGGTTTCTATGCAGAGCTGCACCAGATTTTGTGCTCTACAGTTTTAGTAAATCTCCCCCAATATTTACAAAGAAAAAGCAGATTTATCTCTATGCTGTAGATATATTTTCCAGCATGCTGGAGAATGTTTGCATCCATCTTCTCTAAATTCCATTAGTACACACACACACACACACACACAGTTGAAATGTGTTTTTATTACAAAACATATGAGAAATATTTTTAAAAATACTTTTCAAATATACTGTAGGTCTTTAAAAATACAAATCTACATTTTTGGAATGCATTTACAAATATATGTAAAAATCTATGTTAAAATGACTTTTTTATATGTTAAATAAAATCTGAAGAATATATTTTCAAAAATATATATTTTTAAATATATTCTTCAGATATATTTTTTTAAAATATATATTTTTTAATATATTCTTTAGATATTTTTTTTAAAATTGCGTATATATACACGTGATCTTGCATCTCCAGGTAGGGGACCTGCGCAAGAAGCGTGCGCCCTACCTGCATCGCTATTTGCGGCCTCAGCTGTCAATCACAGGGTCCCGGCCGATGATTACTCGCCGGCACCTGGTGATCGCCAAGTAATACGAACGGGGAGAGAGAACTGTATGTAAACAATACAGATCTCTCCCTGTCAACTCCTGCACACTGCTTTGTATGGCTCTGCATAGCAGTGTTCTTACAGTGAAGCACACACACGGCCCCCTAATAAAGCACACGCAGTACACAGTTAACCCTTTGATAGCCCCAGATGTTAACCCCTTCCTGCCCAGTGCCATTAGTACAGTGTCAGTGATATTTATTAGCATTGATCACTGTATAGGTGTCACTGGGGATGTCAGTGAAAAGAAGTCAGTTTCCCCCCCAGTGTCAGATTGCCCACCGCAGTCCCGCCATAAGTCACTGTCATTACTAGTATAAAAAAAAAAAAAAATTCCAGCATCTATACCACGCCATTTGTAAACGCTATAACTGTTATGTAAACCAATTAATTTACACGTATTGGGATTTTTTTTTTTTTAGCAAAGCCATGGAGCAGAATACATTTTGCCTAAATTTATGACAAAATTAGATTTTAAAATTTTTTTTTTTTTCTGGACATGTTTTAATAGCAAAAAGTAAAAAAATTGTTTTTTTGCTCAAAATTGTTGCTCTTTTTTTTTTTTTAGCGCAAAAAAAAAAAAAACGCACAAGCGATCAAATACCAGTGTAAGAAAGCTCTATTTTTTGGGGGGAAAGGATGTAAATTTAATTTGGGTGCGGCATTGTATGACCGTGCAATTGCAGCTAAAGAAATGCCTGGTCAGGAAGGGGGGGGGGGGAATCCTCTGGAGGTTCACTGAACAAGCTGAAGTTAAAAGCTGATTGGCTCCAACGCATAGCTGCACCAGATCCTAAGCCTGGGTTCACATATACAGTATGCAGTTTGGTATATCGTATGTGATTCACACAGGAACCGCACCACATTCCTGTGCCAATCACATGCGATTTGTGTGCGGTGCAATTGGAGTCATACATTTTGTATAGCTCTAATCGCAACGCACCCGCACCAAAAACGTGCAGGAACCTTTTTTTTGGTCCGCACTAGAATCGGATCGCATGGGTATTCACACCTATGTTATCCGATTCTGCACATTGCACCGCGTTTTGCGGATTGCTTTTGGGGGTTGTTAACTTAACATACACACCCGCAGCGGTTCACATGAACGGGGTGCGATTCTGATGCGGTGCGGAATTTACACTGAAAACGCTGCGAATTCTGGACCGCATCAGTGTGAAAACCCGGGCTCAGTGCACTAGCTTTAGTAAATCTACCCTGCTGCCTCTGAAGAAATCAATATGGGAGCTGCCATTGTGAGTCAGTAACCTGGAATGAGCATGGAGCAGGGGCGGACTGACCATTTGGAAACTCGGGCACTGCCCCAGGGCCCGGGGTCAATGGGGGGCCCCATGAGATGACCCTGGTACCTTTTTCATAGGCTTTTTTGACTTTGGGCAAGGACACAGGGGCCCCATGATCCCCTATTGCCCGGGGGCCCCATGAGTTGTCAGTCTACCACTGGCATGGAGCCAGTGAAGTCCCAGGATACCTGATATGCAAATACTGGCTCTGGGTCAGCAATGGCAGTTTTTTTAATGTCATCCTTCACAATGTCATCCTTCATCCGTCATACATACCAATGTATACAGCGAGCCCCGATGACATACAGAAATGTAACTCACGCTTCCTTGATGCAGACTTTGCACTTCCAGCCCCCAGTAACAGTCTCCATCCTGCAGTCTTTGCACACTAGGTGGTTACAGCTCCGGCATGTGTTAGTTTTGGGGAGCATCCGGCCCACATTCTGCTGGCAGCGGGCGCAGGTCCTGTCGCTGTAGCGTTGGCTCCCCCTTTTTGCTCCTTTTCTCCGTATGTCAAGCAGCTCATTCTTCAGCTTCCTATAAAAGAGAGAACATGAAGATGGGAATCCCAGAAGTCCTAAAGTAACTTTACTACTGTAGCCCTACCTTTGAGAGGGCCGCTGTGCTTCTAGGTCCCCCTAAGTTCTGCACAGCCAGGCAACACGCATTGTCCACACTTTCATCCACAGTCAGTGAACAGTCCATGAGCTTGGTTTTTATTATTTTATTATGGGAAAAGAACTTGGATAGGGTAATCGGGATTACGGGATGCCCAACAAGACAATCAATGCACGGGGACAACTGCCTTCCTATTTACAGAAACAGATCCTGGAACGTTCTTTTCCTTGAAAAGCCTTCAGTCATTGCAGATCAGTAGCAATTGCCCTTATGGGCGAGGGACTCTCAGCTTCTTTCTTGTAAACTACATACAGAGATGTTTCCTCTCCCCTGTAGAACTGCTCCCAGCTCCACAGCCTGCAGACACAACCAGCGCTCCTGGCTGCCTGAAGACCTCCCAGGACAAGGATAAATTATTAAGAAAAGTGCTGTCCTTTGAAAGCTTGCAACATGTGGCCCCTTGTGAATCTCTGGGTGTGCTGATGTACTTACTCTGTCCTCCTTGCTCCTGCTGCTCCCAGGCATTGATTCTGTTCATGCCGTACTTCTGAATGGATACTCCTGAGCCAGCCCGAGCCCAGCCTGGAGGCCAGTCCCCCCCAGACCTAGGGGACCCCTCCCAGACCATTCTCCTCAGCACTCCATCTTCTACCCGACTCCCTAGCCTGCCTGACTATCCCATAGTTTATGGACTGGTCCCCTACTCTACCAGGGCCTCCAAACCTGGGATTGGTTAGACTCCCACAAACAGTCAGATTAGGTCTCCACCTCTTCTGCCTACTGGCTTCTGGAAGGTTCCCAAGGTCCTCCAGAACCAGGTGAAGGCGATAGAGTCCCAATCTGTTAATAGATATTGGCACCACAAAAGATTATAAAAATGTATAACGTTTATTGTATAAACATTAAAAGTGCATGTAGAACCATGTCCAATACTTCAACATAGGGTTCATATACAGGGGTCGGACAAAAAAATGGCAACACTACATGATTTGCAGGTGTGAAAGTGACAACTTGTTTCATGTTGAAAGCGGAAGTGATGCAACATCTTTTTCTTCCACTGTGTGATGAGACACCTAGGTAACAGGTGGAAAGCCTCACTTTTGTCATTCACTGCATGTGCTGCTGGTAATACAGAGTCATGTCAGATCTTACTGAGCTTCAAGGAGGGCAAATTGTTGGTGCAGCGTAGCTGGTGCCTCTGTGACTGATTTTTCCAGTTTATTTGCCGTGTCATGAGGTCCAGTATCAAAGGTTAGGACGGCATATACAGTTTCCTGGAAAACAATGTTTGATGAGCATAAGCGCGGACAGCATGGTCAACTGACCAAAAGAGAAAAAAAGGACATTGCGCAGGATTGTGACCTGGATTATGAACAAAAAACTGCTGCAAAGGTGACTGCAGAGCTCAATCTCAGTCTCCCAATGCCCGTGTCCACAAAAACTGTGCGGAGGGAACTCCATAAGTAGAACATTCACTGGAGAGGTGCAATTGCCAAACTACTAGTGACCAATATTAATACTCAGAAGAGGAAAGAGCAGGGCAACGACCAATAAATCATGGACTATCGATCAGCGAAAGACTGTAATGTGGTCTGATGAATCGAGCTTACACTGTTCCCAACCACGAGATGTGTTTACGCATGGCCAACACCATCCCAAGCTTACAACCAGGACTGTCTTGTGCCAACGGTAAAGCATGGTGGCGGCACAATCATGGTTTGGGCCATATCTTGGTATTCTGCAGGCCCGATCATTACTGTGAAAGGTAGAGTCACTGCCAGCGACTTTGTACAAATGTTGGCCAACCTTGTGCATCTCATGGGGCAGACATTGTTTTCCGAAGACCGCACCATTTACCAAGACGATAATGCTCCGATTCATACAGCTGATGCGGTCACATCCTGGTTTGTAAGTACGCAGAGGACGTCTCAAACCTTCCCTGGGCACCACCAGTGTTGTATAGGCAATGCAAAAATTGGCTCCCCCCCCCCCCCCCCAAGGAGAGACCCTGACACCGACAAACACCCCCACAAAGAGAGCCTGACATTGACCAACAACACCCCAGCCCCCCACCCACATCCAAGAGAGCCTTCCACTACCACCTCCCTGCATACACTGGCAACCCCCCCCAACCCCTACGATAGAGAAAACACTCACCTTCACAGCTCCGGACATCCCCGGGAACAAGAGTCAGGCTCTACATACACCATCAAGCAGCCCCTCTCAGATCCCACCTGGTCCCCATGCTGCATGTGTCCCTTCTTCTACCCCTTTTTTTTTGGGGGGGCGGCACTGCCCCCCTGAAAAATGCTGCTGCCCCCCTGAAAGATGCCGCTGCCCCCATGAAAAATGTCACCCTAGGCAAATGCCTTGTTTTCCTTGTGGTAAATATGCCCCTGGGCGCCACAGTCTCCAGGCCTCAATATCATAGAGCCACTATGGTCAATTTTGGAAAACAAGGTTTGGGCTCATAATTTTTGCAGGAAGATTGGTATCAGATTCCATCATCCACCATCCAAAACCTATATTTGTCAATTCCCTTGGAGAATGCAGGTCGTATTGGATGCCAAAGGCAGTTCAACACCATATTAGGTATCAATTTTGTTCTTTTACCTGGTCTTTCCATAATATTGTCCAACCCCTGTATTTTTTCCATCTAACAATCCATATGTCAATGTGTTTCGAATGATCATACATCTTCTTCTGGAGAACATGTGAATGAGATCAGTACACCGGAACCTGGTCTATTAAAACCAAAGAGATATACAATCTTCTGGAACAAGACTAATGCGAATCATCATTTCCAGAGGGAGCCACAGAAGCAGATAAAATGGCCGAAGGACACCCAATCCTCACACAAGGGGCACTATGTGGATTATTTACTAAAAACTGTCGTGCAAAATCTGGTGCAGCTCTGCATACAAACCAATCAGCTTCCAGGTTTTATTGCCAAAGCTTAATTGAACAAGCTGAAGTTAGAAGCTGATTGGCTACCATGCACAGATGCACCTGATTCTGAGTGCTCCAGTTTTGGCAAATCTACCCCTAGGAGTGTATAGCCCAGCCCAGTGTCAGTCAAATCTCCAAAGGAGGAACTCTCCAATTTATAGAGATCCGAAGAGAGTCCAACACACACAGCAAAAAGTCCCAGATAGTCATGTGTCATATAGAGTCATCCAGCATGTACATCCAACATCCCCCATCACACTTCCATAGCTACAATTATCTTGGTATCTTAGACACAATATTTAGGATGTGGGCAAAAAGGGCACAGAACCCCTGATGAAGCCACGTGACCCGGTGGCGTAACGCGTAGGGGAGGGGCTCTGACATCACGACGCTTAACGCAACATACAGCAAGTATTTAACAATATTGGAAAACTGTACTGTGGATTAAAATTTTAACTTTTAATGCGGCTTTAACTTGCAATACATGTGAGTGCACTGCTTTATTGAAATTAAATTTTTTAAGAGGATAAGGCACTATTTCCTTTTATTACATTTCATGACCATTACATCTATAAAATTCCTAAGAGCAAAATCCCCTAAGGAAGCAAGGGGACCCCCTGCTGGGAAGAGGGAACACTCCACCCGTCCAACCATCCATCCCAGGGGAAGAGGGATAATCCTATCCATTTACCACTAAGTCCAATTAAAAGGACACAAGCTTTTTATGACCTAACGTGATATTATTATTATTATACAGTATTTATAAAGCGCCAATAGTTTGCTCAGCGCTGTACATTATAAAGGGGGACAGAACATGTGACAGAACAATACCAATACAATGCAAAACATGAGGGGATCGAGGGCCCTGCTCTTTCAAGCTTACAATCTAGGAGGGAGGGGATGGTGGCACAGGAGGAGATAGCTGTGGGGGATGGAGTGGTAGGAAGAGTGGAGGAGGTCGGCAAGTTAGCAGGGGGTGGGGTAGGCTTCCCGAAGAGATGGGTTTTCAGGGTGCGCCTAAAGGAGAGGAGAGTAGGTGATAATCTGATGGGTTGGGGCAGGGAGTTCCAGAGGATGGGTGACACCCTGGAAAAGTCCTGGAGGCGGGCATGGGAGGAGGAGACCAGGGAACTAGAGAGAAGGGGGTCTTGTGAGGAGCGGAGTGTGCGTGTTGGGTGGTACTTGGATATTAGGTCAGTGATGTAGTTCGAGGCAGTATGGTGGACGCTTTGTACATCAGTGTTAGGATTTTGAATTTGATCCGTTGCGCAATCGGAAGCCAGTGGAGGGATTGGCAGAGGGGGGTGGCGGAGATGGAGCGGTTGGAAAGGTGAATGAGTCTGGCTGCCGTATTCAGGATGGACTGAAGCGGGGATAGCCAGCGGCGAGGCAGGCCAGTGAGGAGGGAGTTGCAGTAGTCGAGTCGTGATATGATGAGGGAGTGGATGAGCTGTTTAGTGGTTTCTGGGGTTAGGAACGTGCGGATTTTGGCGATGTTGCGGAGGTGGAGTCTGCATGAGCTTGTTAAAGATTGGACTTGGGGCTGGAAGGATAGGTTGGAGTCCAGAATGACACCCAGTACTCTGGCCTGCGGGGCGGGTTTGATGGTGGCGTTGTTGGATGTGATGGAGAATATACACCAGGTGAGAGCACAACCAGTGAAGGAGTAGAATATTTTTTTGATTAGTGAACGGCACGGCTATTATCCTAGAACTAGAAGAAGTGTCAAAGACACGGACTTAATACGGACATATTTGCAGCAGGCACTATAACTGCAGTGATATTGTTATGTATTCCTTTGATGCTGGACTATTATATAAAAACAATACAAAGCATCATCACTGAAAACACATTAAAGTAACGATGAAATCATTAGAGAGGCTTTTTGAGCACCTAAGTTAAAGTTCACTTCATTTTTTCTAATACAGGCGTACCTCGGTTTACGAATTTAATTCGTTCTGCGGGACTTTTCATATTGTGAAAAATTTGTAAACCGAAAACGTGGTTTCCTATAAGAATGCATTGAAAACCAATTAATCCATTCCAGAGGTCAGAAAATTAAAAAAAAAAAAAGTCTTTTATCTGTTCAAAACTCTTTATAAAGCGCACTTTAAAGGCATAAATACTGCACAGGGATATGGATTTGTAAATGCATTGAAAAGCAATGAATCTGTTCCGGAGGTCAGAAAAAAGGAAAAAAAAAAAAATTTTATCTGTTCAAAACTCTATATAAAGTGCACGTTAAAAGGCATATTACTGTACAGGGACATGATTAAAAAAAATTTGTAAATGCATTGAAAACCAATGAATCCATTCTGGGGGTCAGAAAAAAGTAAAAAAAAAAAAAAAGTCTTCTGTTCAAAACGCTTTATAAAGTGCACTTTAAAGGCATAAATACTGTACAGGGATATAATAAAAAACAATTCATTGTAAATGCGTTGAAAACCAATTATCCGTTCCGGAGGTGCAAAAAAAAAGTTTGTTCAAAACTCTTTATAAAAGGCATAGTATGTTTGATTAAAAACAATTTAAATGTATTCCAATTAATTTGTTCATATTGCGAAAAAAATTTGTAAACCGGAGGCATTATTTTCAATGGATTTTCGTTCGTAAACCGAGGTACGCCTGTATAAACTAAAATATTTTTAAAATGCATTACTTTGTAAAATATGATCAGAGTCAGTTTTCTTGTCTTGAAGATATATTTTAAAATTGCCAGTCAACTCAATACTGAGACTTTTATTATGAGCAGATGCTGTAAATGTCCAGCCGGTCATGTTCCTGGTCCATGTTGCTGTGTTCCTGGTCCACCTACCACAGACACATCGGGAAAGTCTTTCCTTACAGTTGGTTTCCTCCAGGGGCAGACTTACCATTTGAGAACGTGGGCACTGCCCGAAGGCCGGGTTCAGTAGGGGGCCCAATGAGATACCCCTGGTACCTTTCATAGGCCTTTTTGGGTATGGTTTGAGTGTGGGTGGGGACACAGGGGCCCCATGATCCCCTATTGCCCGGGGGCCCCAAGAGTTGTCAGTCCGCCCCTGGTTTCCTCATTTGTGTTGGATGCAATGTAAAGGGTGGAAAGCTCCTTGAAGTGGCTTCAGAAGAGAAGCTATGGACTTTGATGGAGATATCTCAACACTGCAAAACTCTAGGAGGTCCAAGAAGCCAGGGAGATAGATAACCCAACCCAACATCCACCTCTAACTGAAATCACATCTATGAAAAAATATTTCCTTCCCAACCTGATCCGTCTGTCTTCAGTTTTCCGTAAATCTTCGTCTCGTTGTAGGACTTGCAGGATGAGGTCTCGTTCTGTCTCCGAGAGGAAAGACAAGTTCACCACTTCTGTGGTTTGTGCCATGGTGGCTCTTTGGTTTCCTCTCTAGAATGTTACGATACTTGCAGTCATATGACAGCCTGCAAAAAATGTGATAAAGAAAGACGATAAATTACATAAATGAGCAAATTAGTCTAACAAAGTTATCCAACACATGCATGGAAATTGGTTTTGGTTGGAGGTCTACTTTAGAGGACCAGCGAGTTTCAGATATGGACTTTCTTTATTACAATATAATTGATGCTAGTTTTGGTTATGTGTGTAGGTAAGATTTGGGGACACCATTAAAAAGAGGAACTAAACTCCCAATTATCAATAAATATTTTTTTATAATTTTTCTGCTTATGTAGTAAATAGATAGGAAGGTGTTTTTATATTTATGTGTGTTAAACTTTTTTTTTTAGTTACTTCCTGGTTTGTGGCCTAGGCCAAAATGACGTCATACGTCCTAGAGTCTTTGTGGGTAACTTTTTTCTTTCATCTGGAGGAGGGGCGGGGGAGATTTCTCAGCTAAGCAGAAACCTCATGTCTGCAAGCCTGAGTTAACCTCTTGCTGTCCGCCTGCTGTTTATAAACGGCAGGGCGGTGGCAGTCCAATGGCGGGTTGCCGTTCCTAAACGGCACCCGCCTTTTCTAGCTGTGCGCGCTCCCTGGGAATGCGCATCACCGCGATCCGGTGCCCGCTGTGTCCTCGACACAGTGAAACACCGATCGTCGGACGGGACCTCTGTACGAGGTCCTGATCATGTGATCACTGATTGGCCAATCAGTGATCACATGCAAAGTAGTAAGCAAGATGTCACTTGTGACATCATTGCTTACTACGTGTGAAATCTGTGAATGATCACAGAGGTCACATGGTACAAGGCTATTCACAACAGCCTTGTACCATGTGACAAGCTGTGACCAATCACAGCTCACTCAGTACTTCTCAATGACTGCAAGAATGCAGACAGAGAGGAAGAGAAATGATTGCTTTTACATCCTATATGGGTGTAAAAGCAATCAGTGTAAAAAAAAAAAAAAAAAAATCTTCATCACCCCCCACAAGTAGTACAGTGTCACCATGGTGACACTGTACTGCTAAAGTGACAGTATGTAAAAAAAAAATATATAAAAATAAAAAAAAAATTATAAAAAAATAAAATAAAAATGTAAAAAAAAAATGTTTAAAAATTATAATTTTTGGTTATAAACTAATTTGGATTTTTTTTTTCTACTAAAAAAATAACGGAATAAATTTTGGCCAAGATTTATAATGAAATATTATTTATTTGCAAAATTTTATAAAAAAAAAAAAAACACTTTTTTTCAAAATTTTTGGACATTTTCATTTACATAGTAAAAAAAAATAAAAATCCCAGCGGTGAATAAATACCACCAAAATAAAGCTTTATCTGTCTCAAAAAAATGGTAAAAAATTCATATGGGTACAGTGTTGCATGACCGCGCAATTGTCATTCAAAGTGTGATAGCACTGAAAGCTGAAAATTGGCCTGGACAGGAAGGGGGTAAAAGTGTCCGATCTGGAAGTGGTTAAGGGCAGACGGATTCCAGGAAATAAATGCTACATGAATCATCTGCTTTTATTCAAGATGGCCACGGCCAGAACAGCTAGGGGATGTTTCTCAAAGTGATTTCTCAAAAAAAATAAATCATGGAGGCTTGGATGAATTGGTGAGATTGCTTTGAATATTAATAATGAATCCAATCGTGTTTTCAGTTTATTTTGTATACTGTATATACCTTTCAGTTCCACTTTAAATATGGTAATGTATCATTTTTATTACATTTGAAAATTTGTATTTAACACCAACGTTTCACAGTGTATTTTAAATGTTAGGTTGGCCATACACCAGTAGATTTAAATATGGAAATTCTGAAAAATCATCAGAGCATTCAATATTAAACTGTTACAAAAACCATATCAATAAAAATCAGTCTGTATATGCGGTTAAGCATGCTTGTTATACTCACTGTAGGAACCGAAGGGGTTAACCCTCCACATTGTGTAAAAAGGCTGTTTGATCCTGTCTTCTATGATCCTCCCCTTATTCTACTGTCCCCAATCCATCTGCTCTAGGAGTCACTCTGCATGTGCTCAATTTGGTGTGTATTGCTAGAGAGGGGGGGGGATGTGATCAGCACAGGGCCAATCAGCACTGTCCAGACAGAGGGACCAGGGTTATGCAACCTCATAGGACAGTGCTCTGCTGGACACTGATAGAAGTCGAGACTGTTATACCGCTCATAAGAAAAGGAATTTAGCAGTTTATATTTTCTAAAATAATTGCATTTCCATGTTGTGTGTACTGTGGGAGACCAGATATAGTGAATGCAGGGTCCAGGGAGAGTGGATATAGTGAATGCAGGGTCCGGGGAGAGCGAATATAGTGAATGCAGGGTCCGGGGAGAGCGAATATAGTGAATGCAGGGTCCGGGGAGAGCAGATATAGTGAATGCAGGATCCGGGGAGACCAGATATAGTGAATGCAGGATCCGGGGAGACCAGATATAGTGAATGCAGGGTCCGGGGAGATCCGGGGATCCGGGGAGACCAGATATATAGTGAATGCAGGGTCCGGGGAGACCAGATATAGTGAATGCAGGGTCCGGGGAGACCGGATATAGTGAATGCAGGATCCGGGGAGGATATAGTGAGACCATATATAGTGAATGCAGGGTCCGGGGAGAGCGCATATAGTGAATGCAGGGTTCGGGGAGACTGGATATAGTGAATGTAGGGTCCTGGGAGACCAGATATAGTGAATGCAGGGTCCGGGGAGAGGATATATAGTGAATGCAGGGTCCGGGGAGACAGATATAGTGAATGCAGGGTCCAGGGAGAGGATATAGTGAATGCAGGGTCCGGGGAATGCAGGGTCCAGGGAGAGCGGATATAGTGAATGCAGGGTCCGGGGGAGAGCGGATATAGTGAATGCAGGGTCCAGGGAGAGCGGATATAGTGAATGCAGGGTCCGGGGAGAGGATATAGTGAATGCAGGGTCCAGGGAGAGCAGATATAGTGAATGCAGGGTCCGGGGAGACAAATATAGTGAATGCAGAGTCCTGGGAAACCAGGTATAGTGAATGCAGGGTCCAGGGAGAGCGGATATAGTGAATGCAGGGTCCGGGAAGACCAGATATAGTGAATGCAGGGTCCTGGGAAACCAGGTATAGTGAATGCAGGGTCCGGGGAGAGCGGATATAGTGAATTCAGGGTCCAGGGAGACCAGATATAGTGAATGCAGGGTCCGGGGAGAGCGGAATAGTGAATGCAGGGTCCGGGGAGACCGGAATAGTGAATGCAGGGTCCATGGAGACCGGAATAGTGAATTCAGGGTCCATGGAGACCGGAATAGTGAATGCAGGGTCCATGGAGACCGGAATAGTGAATGCAGGGTCCATGGAGACCGGAATAGTGAATGCAGGGTCCATGGAGACCGGAATAGTGAATGCAGGGTCCGGGGGAAACGGCATATAGTGAATGCAGGGTCCGGGGAGACCGGATATAGTGAATGCAGGGTCCGAGGAGACCGGAATAGTGAATGCAGGGTCCATGGAGACCGGAATAGTGAATGCAGGGTCCATGGAGACCTGATATAGTGAATGCAGGGTCCGGGGAAACGGCATATAGTGAATGCAGGGTCCGGGGAGACCGGATATAGTGAATGCAGGGTCCGAGGAGAGCGGAATAGTGAATGCAGGGTCCGGAGAGACGGATATAGTTACTCTAGGAGAGCTGGAAAGGGCCATAGAAGGTCCTTAACCCATCAGCAGGACCGGTATCTGCTCCTTTGTGCAAGGAGGAACAGAATGAGCACTGGCAGAGCCCTACAAAATGACCTCCAGCAGGCCACTGGTGGGAATGTCTCTGACCAAACAATCAGAAACAGACTTCCTGAGGGTGGCCTGAGGGCCCGACATCCTCTAGTGGGCCCTGTGCTCAGTGCCCGGCACCATAGAGCTTGATTGGCATTTGCCATTGAACCCCAGAATTGGCAGGTCCACCACTGGCGCCCTGTGCTTTTCACAGATGAGAGCAGGTTCACCCTGAGAACATCTGACAGACGTGAAAGGGTCTGGAGAAGCCGTGGAGAACATTCTGCTGCCTGTAACATTGTTCATGATGGCCGTTTTGGTGATGGGTCAGTGATGGTCTGGGGAGGCATATCCATGGAGGGACACACAGACATCTACAGGCTAGACAATGGCACCCTGACTGCCATTAGGTATGGGGATGAAGTCCTTGGACCCATTGTAAGACCCTACGCTGGTGCAGTGGGTCCTGGGTTCCTCCTGGTGCAGTGGGTCCTGGGTTCCTCCTGGTGCAGTGGATCCTGGGTTCCTCCTGGTGCAGTGGATCCTGGGTTCCTCCTGGTGCAGTGGATCCTGGGTTCCTCCTGGTGCAGTGGGTCCTGGGTTCCTCCTGGTGCAGTGGGTCCTGGGTTCCTCCTGGTGCCTGACAATGCCCGGCCTCATGTGGGGAGAGTATGCAGGCAGTTCCTGGAGGATGAAGGAATTGATACCACTGAATGGCCCCCACTCTCTCCCCACCTAAATCCAATAGAACACCTCTGGGATATCATGTTTCGTCCATCCGACACCACCAGGTTGCACCTCACACTGTCCAGAAGCTCAGTGATGACCTGGTCCAGATCTGGGAGGAAACACCCCAGGACACCATCCATGGTCTCATTAGGAGCCTCCCCCGACGTTGTCAGGCATGCATACAAGCACGTGGGGGCCACACAGACTACTGAGGACCATTCTGAGTTGCTGCAATAACATTTCAGTAAAATGGACTCGCCTGCTGCATCATTTCTTCACTTTGATTTTCGGGGTGTCTTTGAATCCAGTCCTCTGTAGGTCGATCATTTTCATTTCCATCACACGATGGGGCGTCCTTACGTTCCTAACACATTACCCGTCCATGTCAGTATAGAGATCCAGCAGGAGGTTTTCCCCATTGAGATCTGATGGGTTTTCAAAGTCTTCCTTTCATTTTTTTGAGCCGTGTATAT